ATTTTTTTCAATGCTTTGTGTTTTTAAATTTCTCTGGACACCTATGTTAAACAAGTGACGCAGGAATCAGTCTAATGAAGTTTGTTGTTATTACTTTGTGTTTTTGTCCACTTAGCTGTCAAACAAGCGTATTTTATCTAGCGTAGACAGTGCTTTTTTCATACTTGTACTCAATTTGAATTGTACCCTAGTTAATTTTTATTTTAGTTATCAGTTCATTAGATTCGCCATTTTATCGTTGTTTATTCTGTTTATGTAGCCTGTGCATTGTTATGTTAGTTTTGATTCAGTATTAGGAAGGCGTAGGTAAATACATATTTGTTTTCAGTACACACTGGAACCGTCGACTTCTAGAAACTGGACATTTCAATTCACCGGAGCCTTGCAAGAAACTTCGGATAAGCCAAACAATAGAGACACAATGAGAATAGAAATGGTCGTCTATGATGCTAAATGTACAGATGCTGGAATGTTCTATTGCTTCGCTACATATTTTAATACTGCTGGTGACTGGGTATCAATAGCATCTTATCAAAATGTTTTTGGTGCATGTAAGTTACCGTATATTGTTTTTATTGTTAGTGTGGTCTTTAGTGTATGTGATTAAATCGTGAGGTCGGAGTTGTGAAAATTAACAAACTGAAATTTGTAGATAAATAAAAATTTTAATATTAGATTAGTAGCTGCTTAACACAATCAAAACATGGCACATTTTAAAAATACCGTTAAAGCTATTGTATATTTTTTAAAATGTTGTCAGCATGTGATTTTTATTATTTAAAAATAAATTCACCGTTAAAGCTGTGATACTATTTTTTAAAAAATGATATCAACTTTTGATTTTTATTATTTCTTGTTGTTAAACAGCAATAGTATTTCCACTGGCTTTTTATTTAACGCCACAGTATGAGCAGGGATTTGGTCCATATTTTTCTACAAATTACATGGGAACCATTGTTACTCTGACATGCATTGCATCTGTGAGTATTATCTGTTTTTCTGCTTGGTAAATTTAAAAACACATTTGGATGTAATAATATATAGTCTAGTTTAATGATTACATTTACCATGAATAGCATTAACACATTGTTTATGCATTGTAAGGAAAACGTTATTTTAATAAAGGGACCGAGAGAACTTACCTTTAACTGGACGTATGGCTATACCAGCGAGGACGTCAACAGCTTCAGAGAATATCCAATACAAAGTGAAATAACAGTCAGGGAGCCGGTGCTGGAAAGTTCAGGATCTTTCTGTGCAAAATATCGCCATGTGTCGATACTAAGTTTTCAAACACATGTTGATGGTTTAAAATATGTATGTAAAGCTACAGAAAACAATAGAGATACTATTGTTGGCAATATAACAATATACTCAACAATGCACGGTAATTTAATTTAAAACTTTTAAAATTATAGTCATGTTTCCTCTTTTTAACATAGATTTGTTATTTCAATAAATTCAATTGGTGCATGCGCATGTCTAAATCATTATGTGCGTATGCGTATGACTAATTCCTTCTTATTCAAATGCTTATCGTTATAACTGTGAGTAAGGATAACGACAAGGGTAAGGCTAAAGGTTAAGGGTGAGTTTGAGGGCGAGGGTAATTTAAGGGTGTAATTATGGGTGTAGGTGTTGGTAAGTGTAAGGGTGGGGTGAGGATGAGGGTAAGTGTAAGGGTTATGTTTTCGGGTTAGAGTAAGTGCATTGATAATTTTGGGCGTATGTGAATTTGTATGTAGATGTAACTTGCAGATGTAGATGCAGATGTAAATGTAGACGTTGAATATAATGTTGTGAAAAATGAAGACTTCTATGTATAATACACTTACACGTCAATATGTATATATATATATATATATATATATATATATATATATATATATATATATATATATATATATATATATATATATACATTATACAGTACACTACTCTGTTATGCTTCAAATGCACTTTAACGCAACACTGTCGGCTGAAGAATTAGTTTTCGAGAGTCCAGAAAACGAAGCTTTTAGACAAAATGTTGTCTACGCTGTAAGTTATACTCATTCGAATATTTTTGTTTTTGTTGTTACGAGAATGAATAAAAGGACATCCTAAAATGACACCATAGGCTTATATTTTGCATTTAACCCTTTCCCCTCTCGCCACACATCATTTCAAAATATCATACCTCTGAAGTTAATAAATTACGTCACATTTTAGCTCGTCAGGTTTTTCTATGTATGCCTTGTGAAAATCAAGTAAATTATGCTGAAAATATTAATTGAGACAGTTCCATTCACAAGAAAAAATAATCGAATTATATAGTTATTGTTATTAGCAAGCTTGGTTGATTTCTCTATAAACGTCACTACTGACTATTTTTAATAAAATACTAACAAACCTTACCTTTGTAAATCATTAAGTAATAGATCGATTTGCATTCCTTTCTACGATACATTGAATGATAAACCATATGCCAATAGCTAAAATTTCGATTTAAAATTGATGTTCCTTTTATAGCATAGTATAACAGAGCTAACTGATAGAAGAAATGTAACCATACTTTTACACAATGAGGTATCGTGCTGTAATAGCTAGTCATTAAAGATCGAAAAAAGAGCTATTCATAATAAAGCAGATGTTGTCGAACATGGTTTACTTGTGTTTATTCCGGGATTCATAACTACAAGCACATTTTCCCCCCTATGTTAAATCTTAATGATGTACATACTATTCATAGATGTAGAGTTAATTCTATAGCTTCTAGTAACGTTTTTCAAATCCGAATCTACATGGCTTACCTAATTCAGCCAAATATGATGGGTGCTTGACTCGAGTAGATTACGCAACCAATGCATACAGAATCATGTGAAAACTGAAGCATGTCAGTTTGGGTCTCCTAACTTTACTTCACTGAAGTTTAGCTTGATATATGTAACGTTAAGTATACGCTTTTTGCAGTATATTGCAAATAATAATTTTTTTTCCTAAAATAGATCAAGTCTTACTTACGGCAATCAAACCCTGAAATTAATGTTGATGTAAACATCTTAAACATTACGTAAGTTAATATTTTACAGATGTATTAAATAGGTTTTGTCTTTGTTTATGAAAAAGTAAAGTAGATATTTAAGTGAGTCGGTGTTTTTCGCACTGTTACGCAACTTCTCGATAAGCAGCTCCTTAAAATTTGATTCTTTTATGATATGCTTCAATTGTCTTCAATCGTGCAAGTAATCAAATTAGAGATTTTAGTAAATCTCATCCAGATTTTGATAAATCCATTTTACATACTTTAATGAAAATTCATATGCATTTATTAAATCCAACTTGTAATTTTCTTCTATTTTTGAGCGCTTTCCATTAGTCAGAAGTGTTGATTACTGTACTTGCATTTTATCGATAGCGGATAATGTTAGTATCAATCCAGTTAAGTAGGCGACATTTCATATATAAGTATACGACTTCACTTGAACATTTTTAATTTTAGAATAACATCCGATATCTGGATGTGTTATTCTACTCTATTTTCGGTTTCTAAAATATCGATAAATTGAGTAGCCTACCGTTTAAGCTAGGTTAAAGAAATATTTCATTTATATGTATAAGATCTTAAACGCTGGATTTTTAAGTGATTTCCTTTATACAGAAGCGGTATTTAATTATACTTCTGAGTGAAGACGAGAACTTTAGGGTAGTTTCAGTATTTTGAAAAAATTTCATATAATAGTAAGTTTCCCTTTACTTGTAAGTAATTTTTGGTAACCTGCAAGGATACATTACTTTTTATTATATTCTCATTAAGTGGCAAATTTTAAGAACTGTTCACCTCTATGCGTTTCTCGAAAAACTAGCGGTTTTATTACAAACTGGTATATTTCTAGTGACCGATTCTTCAAGAAAAGGCATCACAACCCTTTCTGTTGTATAAGAATATGAGAGAAAGTTTAGGGGATCTCAAACGACATTTTTACTGCATATAATGTGAATCACATTTCAGCATCGTCAGATGCAGCGTGTAATGATTCGTGGTAATTTCACTAACATGATTAGAAGTTATCATTTAATCAAAATTGACGTTTTATTCTTTCTTGTGACGTCGTGTTAAAAATATAATACCTACAGCTACAGACGGCTCAATCTTTTGTACTGTGTTGATTTCAACAAATATATTAAAAAAGAATTGCACTGCTTATTATGTCAAGCTAAGAATGTTTGATATGAATAAACTATTGCTTACTTTTTATTTTCTGCACCTCGTATAATTAATCGTTTAAATTATTAGACATAATAAATTATCTGTAATTCAAGCAATTAAAATGCGTACGCAGGAAGCATCTTAATTTAGTATTACACACACTTTTCGTCCACCCCTAACGGCTCGGACCACAGTTAATTTTTTTTCTCTCCCCTTAACCTCACACAAACTCATTGTCTTTTAAGTTTTAACGTACATCATATGCACATTTCATTTCATGGTATTTTTAATACTACCATTAACATGTTCTTAAATGTTTATCTTATAGGTCAGAAAATACTGGTATGACTGTAGCAGTGGCAAAAATTTATTTTGATGTGAAAGTTGTTGAGCTTGCAAACATCATCAACATCATAGTTCCTCAACGCTATTTTGCTATTAATGGTGTTACATACACAGTAACTGCATTGTGGCCGGCATTGGGTACTGATTGGAGTAAGTAAATATAATTATTTTAAAACCAATTAATCATATTAAAGCTCAATACGATATATTAAAGCATATTCTAAAAGTTAGTTGTATGTGTTCTAAACAGTTGATAAAGAAAATATTAAAGCAAAATGTGTACTGAGGTTCACAGCAATTTATACTAGTAATTAGAGAAAATATTTTTTTCAAATAAATAGAATTATTGAAGATAATTTTTAAACTAAACAGATACAACAACTTTGATATTGAATGACATTGAAAACAAAGAAATAGGTTATATTTTTGATTAAAAATGCAATCCACAGGTAGAGACATTTGTATCACATGTGCCACATTTGAAATTTGTTTAGAGATTAATCCTAATAGGTGGTTGTGCCTGTAAGTAATCATTTCGATTGTAATTAATAGAAAATTAAATATTTACATTGGAATATGAACCTAATTAAGATAAAATACACATACGTTTTCCACTGCATTAAAATAATGTATTTTTATTTACAGACCTTTTAATCAAAGTAAGTAATTTTTGTTAAAGAAAACACCTTTAGACTGGAAAAATTTAAAAAAAAAAGGAAAAAGTTGCTCGGATGGATTGACGGATGGATTAAAAAATGAATGAACTGATGGATAAACGGATTTTTATTAACCTAATGTTTTTATTTTTTTTCTTCAAAAAAGGCATGTATCCATTTAGTATTTCTAATGGCGATCAATATTTACCCAAGGACTCGGAATTCGCCACACAAAAAATTGATATACGTGGTCGGCTACCGTGGGGGAGTGAGCTTGTAAAATCTATTTGGGTATGAATATTATTTTAGAGTAAATGTACTTCCAGCATTTAAAAATATCATTTACTAAGTGGTACTAATTAGTAGCTTTATATATTTATAAATAAATATTTTATTATTTTAATCTATACAGATAACACAAGTTTAATTTAAAAAATCTACGATTTATTCACAAATAATTGCACCATTATTTAGTGTGTAAACTGCTTGCGATTTGTCGGCTACTAGATTAAGAGTAACCACTGATTAGTGATTTAAATTCTGAATTATATTGTGTACTAAATTAGTTTATCTCCCAAAAAATCGGATATTGTTTTAAAAAAAAACATTTCATCGTTAATATTTTATTATATAAAATTAAGTTAAAAAATAAAAAAACCAAATGTATAGTATCGCATATCATCCATTGCTTTTTGTTCCCAGATTTCCATCAACGGTCTAATAAGTTTTGGTGAAGAGTATGCAGGTTTTGTTCCCGAGCGACTTCCTTTTAAGGGTAAAAAGCTACTAGCAGTTTATTGGTCAGATTTGGACGTTGTAAATTTGGATAGAGCCAACGTATACTGGCAGGTATTTAAATGCTATATAACTAATATTTCGGTGTGTACAATCAAGAGTATTTGCTTTTAATATGCCTATTTAGATTTTATTATCATTACTTAAATTATTAATTATATTATGCTTAAAGCTAATTTAATCTCCGTTGACCTATTTTTATATATTTTAGATATACACGCCAAGTCCAGATAACAATGTGCAACAACAAAATGTTATTGAGCGCGCGAATAGGGAAGTTCTATCGCATTCTCGGGATAAATTAAGTATATATGATGCACAAACAGTCATTGTTGTAACATGGTACGAAGTCCCTCCATGGCCAGCAAACAACAATACTGGTGAAGTAAATATAACTTTTACTCTGCAAAATGTAGGCCTAGTTTTAAATAATACATTAATGATAGGCCTACATTAGGTCTACACTACTGTGTATCTCAGAAGCCCAATCTATGTTTATTAAACAAACAAAAAATACTCTTGAAGAGCAACAATGCCTTAAGTTCGAATTGCTTTTATAAAAATGAAATTATACAAAATGATTTTGTTTTATTTTGAGTTAATTTTATATACATAACTTATTAATTTTTAAAGTGAATTGGTTAATATTACTTTAAACAAATGATTTACCTACACTTTTTCTTTGAATTTAGCGAGTAACGTTTCAGTGTGTCATTATCACTGATGGAAAAACGGCATACGTCAAATATTTGTATACTCAAAATGCCTTGAATTTCAATCCACACTTTTCCCGAGCTGTAGAAGTCGGATGGGGAAGTGTTAACCTAGACACTGAAAGATCAAGTTACTATTTGTTTGATCAAGTCATGGGGAATACTGGTATGACAACCTACACTGTAAACACGAGATTATACGTAAAAAGTTTCTACATTATAACGGACAACCAGTTAACATTTTTCTTTTTTGAAAGAATACTATATTAATCACAAAAACAAGACTATGCTTAGATTTGTATGTACTGTTTCTGTTTAAAAGTTTATTTTCCTTAACAAGATTTAAACTTTAACAGGTGTTCCCGGTCAATGGTTTTTTAAAATTGGAGGAACTGAAAACTTCGAAATGGAATGCCTATCCTGGTACCGAAACAACATCTATTTGTCATCTTGTAAGGGTTATTGACTTGAAAGGGTGATATAATAAAAATATGTTTGTGTATGTATGTATGTAGGCTATATATATATATATATATATATATATATATATATATATATATATATATATATATATATATATATATACATAAAATATTACAGATTATATTTCGATATTACAAAATATACCATCTTGCCCATGCAATGAATTGGCTGCTTTGTACAGCGGTGCTTGGATACCTTCGATTGATCAGTCACACTGCTACATTTCTAACACGTTTGCGTATTACTATAACGGTATCGGGAGAGTAAGTAATAAGTTGTATTTTCTATTAAAATTTATATTTAGTAGCTTTAATTCTGACAGTTAGTTTCTTATTTACGAAAAATCACAAACAGCAAAAACATATTTTTGCTTTATAACTATTTAATGCGATTTTTTCAACAGCGCTGTTGTTATAGAGAAGACGGAATAGAAAATCGATGGCCATTAGCTGGAAACCTGTTTACAAATGATTATTATAACTATTTTTTTTATTACTACTACGTATACTACATGTACGACTATCTACCAAAGAAGTGGTGTTGTGAACAGTCAGATATGTGCGAATTGTATTATGCTGTTGATCCACAACCTAAATGCTCGTCTGTTTATCCTACAAGAGGTAAATTTTGACAGTTGATTCATTTTTGCATTCACATATTTTTGTAGCAAGGCTTTTTTTTTTCATTCGAAGATTGTATGAGTAGCGTCACTAGGTCTGCTGACACCCAGTTTGGTAACTCAGGGTGTCACTCCTTCCGCTAACCACTGTCTTATGTGGTACTTAACCTAAAGGAATTCGGTTTCACCCACATCTTGTTTGTAATCAACCTGTGCCTAATGGTGTATTTAAGTAGTCTTGGTGTCTGCATTTTTTTGCCACCCAGTACGATCCGTACGCCCCACATCTAGATATAAAGTATCACTTCCGGTCACAGAAATTGCTCAAAATCTGAAAGAAACACACACACACACACATATATATATATATATATATATATATATATATATATATATATATATATATATATATATATATATATATAACTGATGCTATATTTAGGCTTTGTATGAAGTTTAGCTACTAAAGTTATCAGTATTTTAGAAACCGACAACTAATTACTCTCTTTGGATGTAAGAAATAACTTAAATATTTAAAGGAAAGCTACATATGGGATATTATACTTATTTATGAAATGTCATATGATGTATTCATGTAATGTGTAATCAAGTAATGTTTTCCATTAACATTCCTTTAGGCTATCTATTTGGAGATCCACACATAATAACGTTTGATCAGTTAACATACACGTTTAATGGTCTGGGAGAGTTTAAGATACTAGAGCTTGATTGGTCAATAAACGTCTACTCAATACAGTTTAAACTACAGGTAAAAAATCTTATATATTTATATTTACACCAGACAAGTAATCTTATATTGCGGCGGTCTAAAAAGGAATGGGTCATAATACTAGTACAGTGAATAATTTAAAAATTAAGAAAGTGTCAATGTCCACGCAGCTTTGTTCGGCACCTGACCAGTAGCGTAGCGAGACGAGACGGGGGGGGGGGAAACATATGTCCCCGAGCACCGACCTTAAGGGGCGCCAAAATGTGTTGGAAAAATAAATTGAAAGGTTGAGGGTGGTGCAAATCGAAAGTCTGAGGGGGGAGGAGTGTAAATCGAAATCTTGAGGGGGGGGGGTGCAAATCGAAATCTTGAGGGGGGTGCAAATCGAAAAGTTTGTCCCCGGGCGCCGGGTAGGGTTGCTACGCCTCTGCACCTGACTCATATTAGGAAAAGTAAAGGTGGCTGGAAATAGTATTAAGCACATTGTGCCTTCAAATGCCAAGCTCACTAAGCTCTGCATCACTAGCGCAATTTACCGTCAGTTTCGAAACGTAATTGAACCTTTTTAGACTATTCATACTAACTGTGCATTGCGTGCGAATAATCATAAGTATTTTATGGTTTCTCGTTTGTAATTATATTTTTAAATGTGCAAATAAGTGTTTATCTTTATAATATCTAATGAAAGGTTGCTCATTTTTGTAATAATATAGTCATTTATAAGCATATGGGTTTAAAAATATTATAATACATTATAAGGTCTATAAAATGCATGACAAAATAATTTGTTATAAAACATGTGAAACTTCAAATCCAGGGTCGTACATGTCGTGCAGTTAGCAGTGATGGAATCTCCACAAATGCTACAGTCTGGTGCGGTTTTGTGCTAGCATCTTGGTCTAATACTCTTAGAGTTGAAATTAGCAAGACAAACGGTACGTATAGGTGATAGTATTTATTTAAATAAAATCTATTGTTAACTCGAAAAATGTTTGCAGTTAACTATACTTGCGTTTGACATAGGCAATATTTTACGTCTGCGCACACAATTACCAATACAAACAATTCGAAGTGTACAAGGCTAGAATATTTTTTGTAATTAGTTTATCTAAAGCGCAGACTAATAATCCGCATAAATGAAAATAAACATCAGTAAACAAATTTCGGATTATTGGAATTCCAAAACTTCAACATTAAATTTTGTTTCCATTTATTATGTGACGAAGCTCTCTACTGATTACATTAAAGCATTTGAAAATTTAGCTCCATTATTTTAACAAAAGTAAAAAATTGCGGAAAGGGGGGGGGGACGTTTTAAGAAGTTTTGCCTAGGGCGCTAAATAACCTGGCGCTAGCACTGTATACTATAAAACAAACATCCAAATGTTTCGAGATTGTCAGTGTTAGGCCATTAGTATACTTTATGCTACTACCCTTTGAAAAAAAACAGATGACTTTTATTAATGTAGCCTATAGACAAAGCGTTCACCTTCCATTAGAAAAATGAATAAATATTTTCATTATTTTTTTTAAGTATCCGTCTCATCAAGTCGGCATAATTAGTTATAAATTATTTTTTTTCAGATCTCGTTATATATGCGAATGGGCAAGACTATTCCCTGAGATTTAGAGACAATGCCAATTTCAACGCTTTTGACAGTGGATTTTATCTTAGCAAATTGCAGGATTCTCTAAAAATCATCACGCCTGAGGGTTTGTATTTAAATCAATTTTAATGGGCAATTATGAATCGCCATTATTGATTTATATTACAATTAACAGTAGACTATTACCTAAATGAAATTCAATATTTTATAGGTATAGCTTTAACCATTTCAACGACTGACAACATGTTGGAATTGTCCATTGCGTTGGATAACATGTATCGAGGAATCCCTAGAGGACTTTTGGGGAATTTTAATGGTGACAAGTCTGATGACTTTATTTGGTCTAACGGGATAATGTCTTCTACCACATCTTCAGGGAGGGAAATTTATGAGTTTGGACAGTCATGTAAGTAAAGTAAAACAGTTCAAACAGTTTGTCTTTACAAAGAACACGAGTATATACAATTAACTTATATAATAACGAATATGCAATTAAAAAAATAAAACAAAAATAATTAAATGTATAACGGACACTAGAGAACATATGTCACAGAGTACAATAGTTTTTTTTACTGTTTGATGTAACAACTATTAAGAATACAAAAAAATGGAAAAGCACACCAATACAAAGTATAGCTTAATTGTGTCCAATTCTTTCTACAAATTAAACAAATTCTACTCATTTTCAAAATTTTGGGGATCGGCGTTTACAGAAAAACATACAGGAGAAAATTTAGCATAATAAACATGAAATAATTTTCGCCTTTAAATGCTTAACTTACCACATTAAATATTTAAAATAAACAGTAACCTCACTACAAATATCTTTTTGTACACTCTAGCAAGATTGTGTTTGAAAGCACTGCTTAAAGTGCAGCTTCTAGTTGCTTTTAAATTGAAATATAAAAAGTATAATTATATTTGACAGGGGCGATAACATCAGACGTAGAAAGCTTGTTTGTATATGAATATGGAAAGAGTAGATCATCTTATCAGGACCCCAGCTACACGCCTCTATTTTTGGACGAGGTGGATCCCATTTTGAGGCAGGAAGCTGAAGCAGTTTGTGGAAGCAATGATAGTGTCCCTTGTATCTTTGATTACGTCGCAACAAACAGTACATTGATAGCGTCTAACACATTGGCTGCCGCGTCTTTATTTGAACAGCAAACGCAGTCTATTTGTAAGCTCTTTTAAAATTTCCAATTATTGAAGAAATCTATAGTGTAGGCATACAATAGAAATAAAGTATATGTATACGAACATGATTATAAAATTGGGATCAATATCACGACAATCTCTGCTAATTAATGTATTTAACACATATTTCAGCAAACCTAGCTCCAGTTATCCATGGCAACACCCAGTTTCAAGTGACCGTAAACCAAACTACCTTAATTGAGTTTTTCGGAGAAGATCCTGATAATGACAGTATAACATTTGAAATTATTGAGTTAAATACAAATTGGAGTTTTTTTTTCAACCACACGGACAACACCTTTAAAGGTCATTTTATACCAACAGATATCGAAAGTTCGTTTGTAAGGTAAAAATAATTATTTTCTTAAACATGCACTTGTGAAAGTTAGAAAGTTATGTGTCCGATGTAAAATGTATGCATACAATCTATAAACTTGTTTCAACAGTGTCGTATTAAAGGATAGCAAAGGCTTATCGTCACCAGTGGCAAAATTTAACATCAGCATTTGCAGTGGCTGTAACAATCACGGAACATGTAATTTTGCTGATCCTTTAAAAAAGTTTTCATCGTATTTTAGAGTCGTATCTTGTCAATGCAGCAATGGATATGCAGGTTGTTAATTGTTTTATTATTTGTTAAGTCTTAGATAAACTAATACACTCGGGCCTATAATAATATTTTGTTTTTGTGTAAGTAGCATATTTAATTTGTAAGTGACACAGTACAGGATTTTGAATTATTTGCGAAGTATAGAGGTAGTTTTCCTAAAGGCCCTTATAGAAAACACACAGATCTATCCCACAACACTTAGCCAATGGGCTCTAATGAAATGGCCTGGGCGAATACAATTAAAACAGATTAAAAAACTAAATAAGCAGTTTAATTTAACAAGTTCATTGCCTTTAGATGCCTTTTAAGAAGGTAGGGCCTACTATACTGTTTGATGAAAGCCTGTAGAAAGCCAGCCATCCAAAATATGCTATTCCGATGAAAACAATCGTGACCTGGAATGTTTGGACTCTCAATGAAACTCGAAAAAAATAATTAAATCATTCAAGAGATGGATAAGTTTGGACAAAACTATTGGAACCATATGACACTTGATGCAATGGTTACTATACCAACATAAAAAAGTACGATAATTGCAATCGAATAACGATTATTCTAGTGAGAGAAATGATTTAGTCATAGTAGATGTTATTTTCTAAATAAAACCTAATCAATCACATCTGCATAGCCAGCTACTAAAATGATGACCAGATGGCGGTAGCAATAACCATCCAGTGTCCAGTGTTATTCCAGACTTTTTTCTCCTGAGGGAGACAATATGTTGGCAGAGGACCACTATTTCCACCAGGACCACAATCAATATGGATCATTGAACGTCTGTAAAATGTATAAAAACAAAACCCATGTAGTTGCATAAAAGAGAGGTGAGAAAAAAATAAGGCCGTCTTAGAAATATCTGGAGACGTGACCTGAGGAACGACACCTAGAAGATTGAATACACCTGAAGGTAGGCCTACTTGGAGAGACTAGCCCAGGACAGAGATGTCTGGAACAATTGTTGGCGTCCTATGTCGCATTATGGCAGAAAAGCTTTCCTCATCTAACCCAATAAATCACACTACTTTAGACGTATTATAAGTATTACATCACAATCGCTCTAGCTGAAGCCTCATCCTCTCCCTACACATCATCACACAAGTCCTAACCTATTCCCTTATTGTGTTTGAGGTCGTTGATTGGCGACCATTAAACTATAAAGCTAATGTTTATTTCGCACATCCTGCTTAATATTTGATTTACATTATTTTACTAAAATAATAGTAAGAACTAACACTTATGCTAGTTATGACTATGTAAAAATGTAGAAAAAATATTTTGGAATAAAAATACAAATGATTAAACAGGTTTAATAATATATAGCTTTTGGGTAAACAATGCTATAGAGGTTTGAAAATACAATCAGATGTGCTAATAATTACTTTTACATTTTTTAAATTAAATAAGTGGGCCTAATCTTAGCATAAGGATTAATTAAATTCCTGTTATCTTGCAGAATAAATTAAAAATACATTTATTTTATATATTTCCTTGATTTAAAGTATTTAACATGAAGATAGTTATAGGAGATGGAAATAGAATGATTGATAATACATTTCTCAAAACTAGCAGATTTACGTAAAGTATTTTAACTATTACTGGATACTAATATTGTAGGAGATCATTGTGAACTGGATAAAGATGGTTGTGCCAGCAACCCATGCCTACAAGAATCAAGCTGCACAGACGTTGAAGCATCTGTTGAGGAGTTGAGTGGTCAGTCATACATTTGCAGCGTCTGTCCACCTGGATTTCATTTAGCGATGAATAAGCTGAAATGTGAAGGTCAGTAATTAAATACTTCATCCTATCAAGAATTACAAAAATGCGCGCGTTGTATTGTGATGTTTTCACCTAACGTACAACTAGGCACGCTCGCATACATGCAATCATATAACACGACACGTATATATGCTTCAAGGCTTAATTCATGCACAGCTATTGGTTAAAAATTAATTTCCCTAAACGAATCATGAAGCGAATGTTCTTTGTGTTTTTATTTGCAATACAAATTTTTCTTACACAGGCTAATATCAGGACTTTCTCTCTCTTGCATACATTAAGCCGGAGGATCTTTCACTTCAAACCCTAGACCACATTTTCTATCACTAATACAACATAGACAGAAACTAACGTAATTTCATTTCCATAGAACCACCATTAATCACAAACTCGTTATTGTCTTTCATACCACGTATTTTTCATTTTAGCAATATTAGCAGGGTATGGGTTGATACCCCATCATGATCTAAGTTAATCCGAACTTACTTTATGCTTACAAAGGAAAAAAACTATATTCTTATGAATCTGTAACCTAATATTTATTTAATAAATTTGATACCTGATTGGAATTTTCTCATAATAATTGAAGTCATTGGATAGTCAAGGAACTTTTTAGGAACTACATTCGAGTGCTAATTAACAGTCAATGAGACTGTAGCGTTTTAAAATACTCTGGTTATGTAAATAAAACAAATACTAATATGTGTAGCTTATTAATCATTTCAGATTACTTTATCTTTCAGATATTGATGAGTGTGCCCAGGTATCAAACAAGTGTGATAACAACGCCACCTGTATTAATATATATGGTAGCTTTACTTGCACGTGTAAGGAGGGCTTCAGAAAATCAGGAGACGTTTGTGTTGGTCAGACATTTTTTTTTGTTAGTAAATATATACGAATGTTTATATTTTTTATTTTCATTACTAAGTAGTGGTCTACTTTTCTGAATCACTATTTGTACTACAGATATTGATGAATGTGCTGAGAGGCTACACACTTGTGAACAAATATGCATAAATACAGCTCCATTTTATACTTGCGAGTGTGAACCTGGATTTAATAAATCAGGACCACTATCAAATGTATGCAATAAACAGAATGTTGAAGGTACAGTACATATTTTGCAAGGGTTACAGCTAACTTATAAGCCAATTATTGTGTAAATAAAAATTGTTATATATTATAGATTTATGTGCAAACACACAAAGTCAACCATGTGTATATGGCTGCACAAATTCAAGTGGGACGCCACAGTGTTTCTGTCAGTCTGGGATGAAACTGGCAGAAAATGGTTATGCGTGTGAAGGTAAATACGCCTTTTATAGTCTAGTATTTAAGTTTACCTTTTGTTCAAACTTGTAGGCTACATCTGTCATTGAAACTGGACTTTTATGAGTTGATTGTTTTACTGTATTGCTAAGATCATTCCATAAATGATTTAATGTATCAATATGCCCCTTTTTCTTGTAATGCCACTCCATAATGCACCATTGATAATATCTCAATCTTTCTTTAAAAAAAACAAAATGATAAAACACCTCATAGTTATTTATTGTTGCATTATCTATGCATGTTCCCAAATTAATAGTTAATTGTTTGAAATTAATTTTGTAAATAATTACAGTAAAAGTTATACTTTTAAACATGGCGAACAATTGGGCAGATAAAGTAGAGTTTATCCATTTCTGTGACCTCAGCATATTAAGGGAGAGTGTGGTAAACATAATGCATAGCCACATGGTCTTTCTCTACACGAGTCAAATATCCATTAGATCTAGCTGGACTGTGACGTCATACAGACTTCTTCGTTCTTAATTATTAGTGTTGAAGGGGATCGAGATTTATCTGCCAGTGGGTTTGAACTCGAGACTTTGTTCGAATTTATCAACCATGAGCTTTTTGCCGACTCGACTACGCCTCCAACACAATTAAGCGTTACGTGTCAACTGGTTATGCGCCATTGAGGCCATTGACTCCGATTTCAGCCTGCTTTTCTTTTTGGATTTGCTTCCATAGCCTTTGTCCAACCAACAACAAACTACAAGGCAGCAGTTGTTTAATTTTGGAGTTGTCTCTCCTAGAAGTGGCTGTCCCCAGCTAACGAGCCTCACCTGCCCGAGGGTTCGAACTCGAGACTTTTCGGTTTAGCAACCATGAGCTTTACCGACTCGACCACGCCGACCCCTTTTAATTAGTCAAAATAGCAGTTGTGCGCTCAAACATCTGACCATTCCATCCCATTATTATTAATTACAGTAAATATTTATATATTAATGGGTATATATTAATTGTATCTTTTTGTATCTATAACTATATGCATTTTTGTATATGTGCAATCCAAACCTAAAAGAGATGCTCACACATTTATTACTTATAACAATTACAAACCTTGACTTTAAAATATTAATATATTCATAGATGAAAATGAGAGTAATTTAAGCCTCTGCTCCCAAGGATGTTTAAACACATTTGGAAGTTATAGCTGCTATTGTTTTATGGGATATAGGATAAGTGACCAGGACAAACACAGATGTGAAAGTACGTTGAAAAATTATTTATATACAACTTAATATTTTCTTACTCCATAATTTGTTGACACTTTTTATATCCTGCTTACTACAAACTTTAGGGTCCTAATATACCAAAATAAATTAATATTTTATTTTATTTCAGCTTGTTTGGGGAACAAATATGGAGAAAACTGCACATCCACTTGTGAATGTAGAGGACGAGCTACAAGGTGCGACAATGTCAATGGTTGTGTTTGCCAAGACAACTGGACAGGGACATTTTGTGATCAAGATGTTGATGAATGTCTCAACTCAACCAGCTGTAGACATGACCAATTATGTGTTAACACAGAAGGTTCTTTTAAATGTAAATGTCTTGATGGTTACACAGATAGCAATGGAATGTGCACAAGTAAGTGTTTTAACAACTTTGTATTCTTGCATTTTTCCCTCAAATTTATTATTTTATTAACTTTAATAATAAGTATGTAATTGCTTTGTTAATTGCTTGAAGATATTGATGAGTGTGCAGATGTTTCAAAAAATGGATGTTTACGCCAGCCTTATGGCATTTGTACAGACAATCCTGGTTCATATGCATGTGTATGTCAAGACGGTTACATTAAAACTAACAATTACTGTCAAGGTATTTATGCTTTATGTAATTATTTAAATTTAGTAATATGAATTTTAAAATATCTACTAGATCTATCTATGAATATTTATTCATATTATCTTACTTAATTTAATTCCAACAATGTCTTCTAATATTTTCCAGATATTGATGAATGTAATATGAAAACTCATAGTTGTGATCACAAATGTGTCAACATGCAAGGAAGCTACAATTGTGAATGTTTTCCTGACTATATTTTAGGGCGAGACAGAAAAACCTGCTTTCCAGGTAACCTGAAGTAGATGCTTCTTGATAATACTATTGTGATTATATTTAGATAAGTGAAATACATTATTGATTATCCAAGTAGCTTTTATTGTAATGTAATTAATCTACATTCCAGAAAAGGCATATTTTTGAAAAGTCCGAATTATTATTTCTTTTCCTTATACATAAAGGTTTAAGTAACTCTAATATTCACTATTAATTTTTTTTAAAATCTTAAAATGGTAATTGTATGCATTGATTTTTTTTCCCTAGCTTTTGAAGTGTGTCAAAATTGACAACTTAAATGCAGTCATAGTTGCACAATTACAAATGATATAACAGTTTTTTTTGTAATAGAGACTATGTAGGCCTACTCAGAACTATTGAAAATGACTGGTTTGGTGTGTAATTAAGTTAATAATAATTTGCTATGAATTTATGTTGTCTTGATTTTATATTGTCTTGATTTTTTTTAAGACCTGTACCCATTTGGTATTTCTATTGGCGATCAATATTTACCCGAAGACTTGGAATTCGCAACACAAAAAATTGATATCCCTAGTCGCATACCATGGGGGACAGAGCTGATCAAATCTATTTGGGTATGTATGTAAAAATAGTATTTTATAAAGAAACGAGTGAGATAAAAAGTGAAAGAAAGTTGAAAGAGAGAGCTGAAGAAAACATCATTCAGCGTGAGAGAGAAATTTTCTTCTAGGACATTTTAGGATTCTGTGAATCTACGTTTAATTATTTATTGTCTGGTTAGTTTTGAAAAACTTTATTTGAAAAATAGATATTTTGAATCTTTAAATTGTTGATATAAAGGTGTTTGCGGTGTGTTGCTGCCTATGCGCGTGTTTACACTTCTATTGTTTCAGAATGTTTACTGTGATGTAGGCCTACTAAATAGTTGTTTATTATTATTTTTTTTCAATTTTAATACACAAAGACATTCCATGTGTAATTGTAAACGTATACACACCTAATCACACAACATTTTAGCGTATTATTATTTTACAACGTTGCGATTTGTCGATAAATGACAATAAACCAATAAATAAACTGTAGTTAGCAAAATATAAAGTAGTAACCTTACATCATGTATATCACACAACCTTTGTTTTCGTAACAATTACAGTGACTGCTGCATATATAACTACTATTTTAATTTGTTTAAATCAAGTTTTAAAAAAAATAATTCAACCCCCTTATAATATTGGTTATTGCCTGCACCAGTCCGGGGTAAATTAATTGTTCAGTTATAAAGTGGGTTATGTATTACTAGCCGTGGGTACACGTTTCATTTGATTTATAGGTCTATATATTTTCAATGTTATACTTGTTTGAAAACAATAGTTTATAAAATAGTTACTTCGTCAAAACGCTATGTGCTTTGCAACATGTTGAACCGTATTAGTGACAAAACAAAGGAATAACTAAGCAGCTGAAAATCTGACACATTTAAAATAACACAGGCTACCAATACCTATTTGAAAAATTAAAACCAAATTATATAATTTATTATTCAACACAACACCATATTAATTACACACTTATTAAGATACTCAAATGATTCCGTTAAAAACCCGGCTTTTCAATGGTATTTCTGTTGTTTATTTTAAATTAATTTTTATTCGTTTTGTCACAGAAAATTGTCAAAATTTAATAGCGTACGTCTTGATAAAAAGATGTATAAATCTAAATAGATTTTGAATGGAATAGTTCATGTCTTCGAATTTCCTAAATTAGAAGTGTTGTGAAATTTCCGTAGTTTAAATATGTGCCATGTGACGTCATTGTTTTTTGCGTTCTTGTCACAACCATAAACACTTTTCCGATTGCATAATTAAAATTGTATTGCGACATTCGAATATGCCTTTCTTTTTATTTTCTTTCTTTAAATAAAATTTGTTTATATATTTAAAACATCCAACATATTATTTTTAAGTCCGTATTTTTAAGTTCATATATTGCTGAAGATACTGATCTCATCCCCTAGGGACATGCGGACAGAGAAAGAGAGAATTACACGCATGGTCTTTTATATATTAGGATACATTTCTAACACAAAAAGCTTTTGAGGTTTCTTTCAGAATGTTTTTCTCTGGGGTAAAGATGAGAGGGGAGGGAGGGCAATTTTTTCGGATGTGTAAGGGACACATGAGACTTCCTGAAATGAGGCGGACTATTGATTAATTATATATTTTCTATATTTTGTTTTCTATTTCGTTCGAGCAGGAGGTGGATGTGTTCTCGTGCCTCTTAGAGAGATGCCAGAAAGAAACACAATAGCTAATAGTTAAAATTAATTTGCTCTCATACCCTAATTGAAATAACCAGTAGGCCCTATGACAAATCCAATAATATTCTTGTAGGAACACGAATTACGGGCTGAAGGAAACCATTGTCTACAACTTTAAAAAATAGTAACGATTATTCTGCCATGAAGGTTAATTTCCCAGCGATAATAATTTAAATCTCGTTCAATTGGTAACATAGCTTATGATTTAAAGGAATCTTTTTTTTTTTAATTAAAATATGTTATTGCTAAACACCCATTTTTGTTTGCAGATTTCCATAAATGGCCTAATAAGCTTTGGTGAAGAATATGCAGGTTTTAATCCCAAACGACTTCCATTGATGGATAAAAAGTTGCTAGCTGTATATTGGTCAGATTTGGACGTTGTAAATCTAGATAGAGCATACGTTTATTGGCAGGTATGACCCGTTTGAACACTATATAACTCATTTATATATGAGTAAAATCAAAGAGTATTTGCTTATTTTTTACTTTATAGATTTCCATTACTCAAATTAGTAATTGTGCACAGTTAATTATTTAATAAAGTACATTAATCTTGGTTAAATATATTTTTAATAATATATTTTAGATATACACGCGAAGACCAGATAACAATGTGCAACAACAAAATGTCATTGAGCGCGCGAATAGGGACGTTCTATTGCATTCTCCAGATAAATTAAGTAGGCCTATATATGATGCACAAACTGTCGTTGTTGTAACATGGTATGAAGTTCCTCCATGGCCAGCCAGGAATAATACGGGTGAAGTAAATATAGCTTTTACTACATAACTCTGTAACAAGTAGTTTTCAATAATGAATTCTTCTACTGTGCTGTATCTTCTCTATGATAGGATTGTAAACTCTCTAGGCCTACACCATTGTGTATTGGAGAAGCACAGTCAATTATGTATATTAAACGACAAATTAGGTGTGCAGAGTAGCAATGCTTACATTTCAAATTTATATAAAAGAATAATGCAGTGTTATTTTATATAGATATTTTGTATATGGCATATTACTATTTAAAGTACTTTGCATGAAATAACTTTAAACAAATGATTTACCAACACATTTCTCTTTGAATTTAGCGAGTAACTTTTGAGTTAATTTTATATACATAACTTATTAATTTTTAAAGTAATATGGCATATTACTATTTAAAGTACTTTGCATAATATAACTTTAAACAAATGATTTACCAACACATTTCTCTTTGAATTTAGCGAGTAACTTTTGAGTTAATTTTATATACATAATTTATTAATTTTTAAAGTGAATTGGTTAATATTACTTTAAACAAATGATTTACCCTCACTTTTTCTTTGAATTTAGCGAGTAACATTTCAGTGTGTCATTATCACTGACGGAAAAACGGCATACGTCATTTATTTATATTTACAAAATGCCATGAATTTCAATCCACAATTTTCACGAGCTGTAGAAATTGGATGGGGAAGTGTTAACTTTGTTACAGAGAGATCAAGTTACTATTCATTTGATCAAGTCATTGGGAATACTGGTATGGTAATCTACATTGTAAACAAGAGATTATACGTAAACGTTTATAGATTACAACTGGGCCAATTAGTTAACATTTTCTTTTTTGAAAAAAAAAACAACTGCATTAATCACATAAGCACGAGTATTTTTTATTTGTATGTACTGTTTCTATTTAAAAGTTTATTTTCCTATACAAGATTTATAATTTTTCAGGTGTTCCCGGTCAGTGGTTCTTTAAAATTGGAGAATCTGAAAACTTCGAAATGGAATGTTTGACCTGGTACCGAAACAACATCTATTGGTCATCTTGTAAGTCAAACTACTGTACTATCTTGTATTTTCACAATCTTTTTATTTAGTGCGCAACGTCTGTCTGTTTCTTTGTTGATGTGTGAAGAATCTTATAACTCAATTTTGACCCACTTCTAGTGAATAGATTTTCTTCGAACTATCCAGCTACCTTCTGCTTTGATGACAATGCAAGAAAATTTATTTTGTAAATGTAATTAAATGTTAAATTAGTCAATAAACATTAATTAAAACGGTTCGAAACTTAGGGGAGATAACAAGATTAAATACTAATTCGATCACTCGATAACTAACCTTCGAGGGTTAACTGTTTGTCATGGACGAAGTAGGGGCAGATAACTGTTTTTTAGACATCACAAGCTAATGGTCGGGTTTTAACGGAAATATTTTTAGGCATAGACTAAAAAGTACAAAATAAAACAAATATAAAAAAGTTTATAATAACAAACTTTTAAATTCACTGAAAATAAGATAATAAAAGAAGTGGTAGCACATGAAATCTCTTACGTATTTTAGAGACCAAGGCTTTTTTAATAAGCAAGTTTATTTTATTTTCTTTTTTTCCAGTGCTTTTTAAAAGCTTGTTGTTATAAAATTATTATAAAGGTTATTCTATTTGTTTTATTTAATAATTAGGACTCGATTTATTGAGATGTAACCAACGATGGCGCTACATTTCAAATTAAACTGCCGAAATAAAACCAGTTGCCAATTTTCACTGTGAGTGTGGTACCATCCACTTGTACGTGACAGGATGTACTTGGGCAGTGCTAGGTTGGTGTCGAACTTAGCTATGTCCATGGTGGGGTTGTTGAAAAAGGTGAAAGTAAGTGAGCCATCCCCAACCCGACCGACCTGGGAAATACATTTGGAATAACACGTAATCAGAGGTGTATCGACCAATTGCGGAGTCAGTGCGAACTATAAACTTTGCGCCCCCCCCCTTATTTGTTTAATTATTCACATTGGCAAAAAGCCCCCCCCCCCCCCATTGAGGGGCGCTTTTTGCTAGTGTCTGTTTCTTAATTATTTTGTGCTGATGTCACATAATTGATTAAGAGAACTATTAAATAAGTCATTTAAACCAAGTAACGGTCTATTTTCTTATCTTCGGCAGTGTATAAATTAGTAATGCAGCTCTATGTTAGCTTTTTTTTCTACTCGTCTGCGCTCCATATGATAGTCGCCCGGGGTGGCTACCTCACCCCCCTAGCTACACCTCTACATGTTATGAGATATATTAGTCAAGGCGTAGGCCCAAGCGGTCTACAGTTGGCGGTGTGCTTATATATATATATATATATATATATATATATATATATATATATATATATATATATATATATATAAATATATATATATATATATATATATATATATATTTATAAATATATATATATACACGTATACATATATATATATATATGTATAAATAAATAAATAAATAAATATATATATATATATATATATATATATATATATATTTATATATATATATACGTGTATATATATACACGTATATATATATATGTATAAATAAATAAATAAATAAATAAATAAATGTATATATATATATATATATATATATATATATATATAAATATATATATATATATATATATATATATATATATATATATATATATATATATAACAGATTATAATACTCCACCTTGCCCATGCAATGAATTGGCTGCATTGTACAGCGGTGCTTGGGTACCTTTGATTGATCAGTCAAATTGCTATGTTGCTACCACGTTTCCAAGTTACGACTTCCGTTTCGGAACAGTGAGTAATATATTGTATTTTATATTAAAATTTATATTTAGTATCTTTAATTGTACCAATTGTTTTCTCATTTACAAAACAATCACAAACAGCAAACACATATTTTTGCTTTATAACTATTCAACACTGTTTTTTTTTTCAACAGCGCTGTTGTTATAGAGAAGACGGAATAGAAAATCGATGGCCACTAGCTGGAAACCGCTATAAATATGATTATTATTATAATTATAATTATTATTATTATTACTACGTACCTTATATGGAAGACAATCAACCAAAGAGGTGGTGTTGTGAAAAGTCAGATATGTGCGAATTGTTTTATGCTGTTGATCCACATCCTAATTGCTCGTCTGTGTATCCTGCAAGAGGTAAATTTTGACAGATGATTCATTTTTGCATTCCCAACATTTATAGCAAAGCTTTTCTTAATTCCGTCATCCAAGATAATATTAGTTGCACCTATAGGTCCCATTTTGGTAACCCTGAATGACACCCCTCCGTCAATCACTGTATGTATTAATTACTAAACATAAAGCAAATGTGGTGCCACCAACATCGAGGTTTGTGTTAACCTGAGCCTAATGGTGTGTTTCAGTAGTCAACGAACTTATATATATATATATGTATATATATATATATATATATATATATATATATATATATATATATATATATATATATATATATATATATATATATATATATATATATATATATATATATATATATATATATATATATATCCTACGGTATCATTTCGATCAAATATATATACAGTAAAGTATCACTTCCGGTAACCGGAAAACCCCCAAAAACTGAAAGAAACACGAAATGTTATATTTAGGCTTTGTTATGAATGTAGCTACTAAAGTTGTCTGTATTTCATGATCCGGAAACTGGTTACTCTTTTTTTGGATATCAGAAATTAATAAAAAAATTTAAAGATACCTACATTTTGGATAGTATACTTAATTACGAAATGTCATTAATTATATATATATATATATATATATATATATATATATATATATATATATATATATATATATATATATATATATATATATATATATATATAAATAATTATGTTTGTATGTATTCATGTAATTTGTCCAATTACTTTTCTACTCTAAAATTCCTTTAGGCTATTTATTTGGAGATCCACACATAATAACGTTTGATCAGTTAACATACACGTTTAATGGCCTTGGAGAATTTAAGATACTAGAGCTTGATGCCTCACTATACTTCAACTCTATACAGTTTAAACTTCAGGTGACAAAACGTATATATTTACATTTACACCAAACAAATTATCTTATATTGCAACGGTCTATAAAGGAAAGTTTTATATAACTAGTAGGCTACTTGTTTAATAATTAAAACAGTGTCAATGTCCACCCAGCTCTCATAGGCACTTTACTCGCATTAGGAAAAATAAAGGCAGCATGGAATAGTGCTAAGCACATTCACCTTTCAGATACGTAACTCTGCTTCACTAGCTACGTTTACCGTTAGGGTCTAAAGTAATTTGATTTTTTTAGACTATTCGCATGCGGATGTGCAAAAGTATTTTATGGTTTTTCGTTTGTAATAATAATTTTGAATCTACTAATGCATGTTTATCTGTATAAAATGTAAAACATTTAATTTATTTGCTGTATTCCGATGAAGGCTGACACTTAATGTTAATAATATAACATAATTATTTACAAACATAAAGGTGTAAAAATATTGTAATACATTATTACGTCTATAAGCTGCATGACAAAATTATTTATTATAAAACATGTAAAATTTTAAACCCAGGGTCGAACATGTCGTGCAGTTAGCAGTGATGGAATCCCCACAAATGCTACAGTATGGTGCGGCTTTGCGTTAAAAACCACTTGGTTAAAAACTGTCAGAGTTGAAATGAGCAAGACAAATGGTACGTGTGATGATAATGTTTATTTAATTGACATCAATCTATGATACAATTTTTGAGGTTTACTACACTTATCGTTGACCTATGTATAATTTTACTTTATCGCATACAATTAACATGCACTTAATTTGTAGTGTAGGTCTACAGTAGAATTATTGTATCGATGGTTTTATAATATAAAGGCATAACATTCAAATCAAATAAAAGTTATTTATTATTTTCAATATTACTTTAAACATTGTCTCGTCAATTTGGCGTAATTAGTTATAAACTATTCTTTCTTTAGATCTGATTATTTATCTAAATGAACAAGACTATTCCGTAAGGTTTAGAGAAAAATCCAATTTTGACGCATCTGACTGGGGAATTAATCTCAGGAAAGTGCAACATTCTCTTAAAATCTTCACACACGAGGGTATGTATTTAAATAAATTTTATATATAAATATCTACTATTACTTTATATTATAACTAACAATAAAATTACTATTTCCTAATTAACATCCATATTTTATAGGTATAGGTTTAACCATTTCAACGACTAATAACATGCTGGAATTGTCCGTTGCATTGGATAACATGTATCGAGGAAGCGCTAGAGGACTTTTGGGGAATTCCAATGGTGACAAGTCTGATGACTTTATTTGGTCTAACGGGATAATGTCTTCTACCACATCTTCAGACAGGGAAATTTATGAGTTTGGACAGTCATGTAAGTAAAGTAAATTTCGCTCAAACCGTTCGTCCGTTTAAAGAACACGATTCAAAACTATCTAATATAATCACGAATATACAAAAAAAAACAATAATAGAAGTATAGCTAATACTAGTGAAAATGTATCAAACAATACAATAGCTTCTTACTTTGATGTAACAATTATTTGGAATACCAAAAAACAGAAAAGCACACCAAAACTAAATAAAGCGTCATTGTGTCCAATTCTTTCTACAAATTAAACAAATCCGAATCATTCTCAAAATTTTGTGGATCGTTGTTTACCCAAACATACAGAAGAAACTTTAGCATAATAAACTTAAAATAATCTTCCTATTTTAATTCTTAACATACCAAATTAAATATTTAAAATTAACAGTATCCTCACTACAAATATATTTTTGTACCTACTAACAAGAATATGTCTGAAAGCACTAATTAAAGTGCAGCTTCTAGTTATTTTAAAATAGAAATACACAAAGTACAATTATATTTGACAGGGGCGATAAGATCAGACGTAGAAAGCTTGTTTGTGTATGAATATGGAAAAAGTAGATCATCTTACCAGGACCCCAGCTACACGCCTTTATTTTTGGACGAGGTGGATCCCATTTTGAGGCAGGAAGGTGAAGCAGTTTGTGGAAGAAACGATAGTCTCCCTTGTATCTTTGATTACGTCGCAACAAACAGCACATTGATAGCGTCTAACACTTTGGCTGCTGCCTCTTTATTTGAACAACAAACGCGGTCTATTTGTAAGTTCTTTTAAAATTTCCAATTATTGAAGGAATCTATAAAGTCTAGGCCTACTATAGAAATAACGTGTATGTATACATACATAATTATAAAATGGTGATCAATATCACGAAGATCTCTGCTAATTAATGTATTCAACACATTTTCAGCAAACCAAGCTCCAGTTATTCATGGCAACACCCAGTTTCAAGTGACCGTAAACCAAACTACCTTAATTGGGTTTTTCGGAGAAGATCCTGATAATGACAGTATAACATTTGAATTTATTGAGTTAAACATACTTTGGGTTTTTTCTTTTGACCAAATAGACAACCACGTGGAAGGTTATTTTATACCTACAGATCTTGAAAATTCGTTTGTAAGGTAAAATTTGTTTATTTTATTTAAACATGTACTTGTGAAAGTTATAAAGCTACTTTTTCGATATGAAAGGTATGCATCAAATCTAAACATTTGTTTCAACAGTGTAGTAGTAAAGGATAGCAAAGGCCTATCTTCACCAGTGGCGAAATTTAACATCAGTATTTGCAGTGGCTGTAGCAATCACGGAACATGTAACTTTGCTGATCCTTTGAGAAAGGTTTCACCGTACTACAGAGTCGTATCTTGTCAATGCAACAATGGATATGCAGGTTCTTGATATTTTAATTTTATGTGAAGTGTAAGACATAATCTAATATGTAAAATAATAATCATGTAGTTGGGTATTATTAGCATGTTTAATATGTAAGAGACGGAATTGCGAGTTATGGGCGCCGTATAGCGATGGTATTCCACAAGGCCCTTATAGTAAACACAAAAATCTATCCTAAAACACCTAGCTAACGGACTTTTATGAAATTGCATTGGCTAATCCATTTAAAACAGATTATATAAAACGGAATGTAACGTTTAATTCAATAAGTCCATTTGCCTTTAGAAGACTTCTATGAGGCAGTGGTGAAGCGACCCACTCTGGCGCCCGGGACGAACTATCAGCTTTGTGAACACTCACAATTAAATCATTTTTTATTCATGGTTGTGAAAAAGCCCCCTCCCCCTCCCCGCCCAGTTGAAAAGACTAGTGGCGCTTTTTACTAGACACTACTTTTTGTTTTGGCGCCACACTTTGGCTGTGTACGATTCAATACCTCAGCTTCCATTTTTCTGTGCCCCTTTTCGCGCCCAAGCGCCCGCCTCACCCGCCCTCCCTTAGCTACGCTACTGCTATGCAGGCACAAAGCTGTCTGATGATAACCTATAGAAAGCTAATCAACCGAAATATGCTATTCAGATGAAGGAAAACAAAACAATTGGGACCCGGAATGTCTGAACTCTCAATGAAACTAGAAAAATAAATTGAATCATTCAAGAGATGGATAGATATTTGACAAAAATGTTGGGGCAATAGGAAACTTGATGCAATTATTGCTATACCAACAACAAAAAAGTACAATCATTGCAAATGGATAACGATTTATCGTCTTCAGTGAGAGAAATGATTTAGTCATAGTAGATGTCATTTCCTAAATAAAACCTAATAAATCACATTTGCTTAGAAAACTAATAAAAACCAGCATACTGGGTGCTAAAGTGAAATAATGCAGTACAAATAACAACCCAGTGTCGTGAGAAAAGAATCACAGAAATAACAAGATAACAGATTCTGATATTGGCTGACGACAACTATTTCCACCAGGACCACAATCAATAGCGAACCATATATCGTCTGGACAATTTATGAAGGTGGGATCTTAACTCAGAAGAGGTTGTAACACAGAGATCGACCAAGGAGGACATCGAAACGTGAACCGCTAGAAGACGCCAAACGACATGAGGACTGTTGAGAAAACAAGGGTGCCTGGGAAACGTGATGGCGGCTTTGTCCCAGGAGGGGTGAAAATGTTACCTTATCTAACCTAATAAATCACACGTTATTACACATGTATAAGTATTACGTCACACTTACTGAACCCTCCTCCTCTCCACACACATAAGTCCAAATCCCTTCCCCCTATGGTGTTTGACGTCATTTATTGACGACCATTAGGCTATAATTATAAGTTTATTTAGCATACCCTCCTAGATATTTTATTTACATTACTTTACTGAAATAACAGTATGAAACAACAGGTATGCTAGTTATAACAATGTACACATGTAGAAAAAATATTTTTGAATTAAAAATACATCTCATTAAACTGATTATTTATTCTTTATATATATATATATATATATATATATATATATATATATATATATATATATATATATATATATATATATATATATATATATATATATATATATATATATTGGGTAAACAAAGCTACATATCTAGAGGTTTGAAAACGTGTTTATTTTCACACCTACCTAAGGCTACATGCAATCAGAAGTGATAATAATGTTTCTTACATATTTTGTTTATGTAATAAGTAGGCACACTATTGGCGTCAAGATTAATTAATTTCCTGTTAACTTGCAACATACATTAAAACACATTTCTTTGACATATCCCAATGAGTTAAAATTAAATTATTTATCAACGTAGTTATATGAGATGGAAATAGTATAATTGATAGTATATTACTAAAACTATCGGACTTAAGAAAAGTAACTATTACTGAATACTAATATTGTAGGAGATCATTGTGAACTCGATAAAGATGGTTGTGCCAGCAACCCATGCCTACAAGAGTCAAGCTGTACAGACGTTGCAGCATCTGTTGAGGAGTTGAGTGGTCAGTCATACATTTGCAGCACCTGTCCACCTGGATTTCATTTAGGGTCGAATGGACAGAAGTGTGAAGGTCAGTAATAAAATGCTTGATCTAATATTGAAATGCTGACTTTTCCCTTCGTTAAGGTTTCAATTTGCGTACAACTTGTCACCACCATTTAACGATTCTGCTAGCTTCGCCTCCATACGGGTAATCTTTGTAATATTTACTTGTTCAAGGCTTTATTTTATGCACATATTTTCACTCACAGGATCTGCTACACACATTACTCTTCGACAGGATTTTATCAGATTTCCTCTCTCTCTTTCTCTCTCTCTGTCTCTCTCTCTCTCACTCTTGCATAACATAGACAAGACGTCCTTTCACTTCAAACCCTGGATCAGATTTCCTATCACTTATATGACATATACCGAGACTAATGTAATTTCTGTTACATTATGTGTTATTAGTGATTGTTACGTCCCTTGTATTATGTATATTATGGTTGCGTCCCTTGAGTGTTCACTGTGTCATCCATAATGTGTAGTTGATGTGTACATGTGAGTTAGTCAACTAAAGATAGCCCCCCCCCCCCACCCCCAGTAACAAGACATGTCGTCTATGCAGTCTTGTATAATACAGTATCAAGGTAAACTCAAAGAACTGTGTATGTTAAAGTAATGTAACAATTTAAAAACATAAAGATTTATTAGCACCCAAACCTAGTTTATAAAAAGTACCCTGACTATCCAAGGACTTCAAATATTATGAGAAAATTTCATATCAGGTTTCAAATTAATTTAATAATTACTACTTTACTTATTGATACAAATATAGCTTTTTTTTCTATTATATAAGCATTCAGTAAGTTCGGGTTAACTTAGAACATGATGGGTATTAACAGTTAATGAGATGATAGCGTTTTGAAATAGTCTTCTATTACTAGGGTAATGTAAATTTAACAGATATATTAATGTGTAGCTTAGTAATAATTTCAGATTACTTGACCTTTCAGATATTAATGAGTGTTCTCAGGTATCAAACCAGTGTGATAACAACGCCACCTGTATTAATATATATGGTAGCTTTACGTGCACATGTAAAGAGGGCTACAGAAAATCAGGAGACGTTTGTGTTGGTCAGCAATTTTTTTTTTAGTTAATATATATATATTAAATTTTAAATTTTATTTTCATTACTAAGTAGTGGTCTACTTTTCTAAATCACTATTTGTACTACAGATATTGATGAATGTGCTGAGAGGCTACACACTTGTGAACAAATATGCATAAATACAGCTCCATTTTATACTTGCGAGTGTGAACCTGGATTTAATAAATCAGGACCACTATCAAATGTATGCAATAAACAGAATGTTGAAGGTACAGTAAATATTGAGCAAAGGTTACAGCTAACTTATAAGCCAATTATTTTGAAAATAAAAATTATTATATATTTTAGATTTATGTGCAAACACACAAAGTCAACCATGTGAATATGGCTGCACAAATTCAAGTGGGGCTCCACAGTGTTTCTGTCAATCTGGGATGAAACTGGCAGAAAATGGTTATTCATGTGAAGGTATATAAGCCTTTATAAAGGCTACTATTTGTAGTCAAGTTGACCTTTTGTTCTAACTTATAATCTGCCTTTGAAACTTGTGTTTCATGTGTTGATTGTTTTATTGTATTAGGAAGATTATTCCATAAATGATTCTATGTAGGGCCTATTTGTGGTCACCTTTTTCTAGCTCTGCCACTGAGTTATGCAACATTGATAATATCTCAATCTTACTTTCAAATAACCCAAAATGATAAACCACCTCATACTTATTAATTGTTACATTATCTATACATGTTTCTATTTTAATAGTATTTACATTAATTTTTTTAAATGAATCTTGTACTTAATTATAGTAAAAGTTATACTTTTCAACCTGGCAAACAATTGGGCAAATTAAGTTCCATGCCATCCCATTATTAATTATAGTAAATGTTTTTAGCGCAATTTCCATACTGGGGGATTGCGATTATTAACTCGTCATTTCTGGATGGATGGATGGATGGATGGATGTGTGTCCGCAGCTTTAAGTCGTATCTCCTCCTCAACGAAGCAATATAGAGGACTAGTTCCAAAAGCAAATACGTTAAGCAAGTTTCAAGGATGAACATAGGCCAAAACAAATTCCCGGAATTCCTTCCGGATTTCCCGGAAAAGCCAAAAAACCTCAAAAAAATGCAGTTTTTTGTCCATATCTCGACAACCAAACCACTTAGCGACTTGAAACATTTACCAATCAATTCCTGCCATAATTTAGAACAATATTGCCGAAGAAAGTTTTCAAAAATATACTTTCGTTCGGTCACAAAAAATTAATTAAGAATTTTTTAACTGAGCATCGTGTAGGCCTAGGATGATATTTTTAATTTAAACTGAGCATCGTGTAGGTTTTTAGCGCAAAGCGCTGAGGTTAAAAAAGATTTTACCATAGCGAATGAGCAGAGGTTCGAAAGGATTTTTACGCAGGTCTGTGAATTCTAAAAAATTGATTAAGGAAATTGCGCTTAAATTGTCAATAGACTTTTTATTAACTTGTTTTTATTAATGGGTATTAATTATTATATATATTTTTAACTATAGCAGAATGCATTTTTGTTTCCATGTTATACACTCCTATTAGAGATGCTCACACATTTAGTTATGTGAATTTTACATTTATTATTACCTTTAATGTAAGTTAACTTAAAAATATTGATCTCATTTTATTATTATTACCTATATTATTACCTATAATTCAAGATAAATTAAATATTTGAATATATTTTATAGATGAAAATGAGTGCAATTTAAGCCTCTGCTCCCAAAGATGTTTAAACACAGTTGGAAGTTATAGCTGCTATTGTTTTATTGGATATAGGATAAGTGACCATGACAAACACAGCTGTGAAAGTATGTTGACATTATTAAAATACAACTTAATATTTTCTTACTTCCATACTATTGGTTAATAATTTTTTATATCCTGCATACTACAATTTTCAGGGGCCTAATATACCTGAATAGATTAATATTTTATTTCATTTTAGCTTGTCCGGGGAACAAATATGGAGAAAACTGCACATCCACTTGTGAATGTAGAGGGCGAGCTACAAGATGTGACAGTGTTATTGGATGTGTTTGCCAAGACAACTGGACAGGGACATTTTGTGATCAAGATGTTGATGAATGTCTCAACTCAACCAGCTGTAGACATGACCAATTATGTGTTAACACAGATGGTTCTTTTAAATGTAAATGTCTTGATGGTTACACAGATATAAATGGAATGTGCACAAGTAAGTTGTTTTAAAAACTTTATTTTCTAGTATTTATACTGCAAATTTATAATTTTTATTAATTTTAATAATAAATATGAAATTGCTTTTATTTTCAATGCTTGAAGATATTGATGAGTGTGCAGATGTTTCAACAAATGGATGTTTAAGCCAGCCTTTTAGCATTTGTACAGACAATCCTGGTTCATATACATGTGTATGTCAAGAAGGTTACTTTAAAATCAACAAGTATTATTACTGTCAAGGTATTAGGCTTTTTTGTGTGATTATTTAAATTTAGTAATATGAATTTTAAAATATCTACAAGATATATCTATGAATATTTATTCATATTATCTTACTTAATTTAATTCCAACAATGTCTTCTAATATTTTCCAGATATTGATGAATGTAATATGATAACTGATAGTTGTGATCACAAATGTGTCAATATGCAAGGAAGCTACAATTGTGAATGTTTTCCTGACTATATTTTAGGGCGAGACAGAAAAACGTGCTTGCCAGGTAACATAAAGCAGTTGGTGTATCCTAGACTTTAATAATGTGATTATATTTATACTCATGTAGATGCATGAAATACTTAACTGATTATCCAAGTAGCTTTTGTAGCAAAGTAATTAATCTACATTCCACAAAAAGGTAATTTGTATGAACAGTTAAAATCAATATTTTTTTAATTTACTGATAAAGGTTTTAGTTATTATAATGTTCATTATTAATGTCTGTTTTATTAAAGTGGTAATAGTATGCATTGATTTCTTTTTCAGCTTTTGATGTGTGTCAGAATTCGCAACTGAATTGCAGTCATGGTTGCACAATTTTAAATGATATAACACAGTGTTTTTGTAAGAGAGGCTACATACTCACTATTGAAAATGAGTGCTTTGGTGTGTAATTAAGTTAATAATAGTTTGCTTGGAGTTTGTGTTATCTTGATTTTATATACTTCATTCCTATTATTTTAGAAATTTTCAAAATTAGAAGTAAATTGAAAAATAATACGTTCATTTAAAAAAAACTGCAGGTCATATCTTCCTTGCATTTTAAATTAAATGTGCATGATCTCTAACATTACCCACTAATCTAATATGTTTTATGTTTAACACATTTTTGAAAATAAAGCATCTGAGTTATTTTCAATTTTCCAAATGTGATTGTTGTTTTGAGTTGATAGAGAATTGATTTTTTATTTTTTAAAAGACAAATGTTTATAAAAATAGATAAATAAATTATAAACTTTTAAATTTAGATGTCAATGAGTGTGAGACTGGAGAACATAAATGTTCACATTTTTGTTATAACACACTGGGCTCTTATAATTGTTCATGTCCTTCGGGGAAAAGGCTTCAAAATGATGGAAGGACATGTGAAGGTAAGTTCACAAGTACCTGTTAATTTAGTATTATAGGCAGAACTATGTAATATCAAAAATTTTCTGAAATTCTTATACAAATAGACAGACAGTTTTGTAATCAATCAACTCTAGATAAATTATAATATTGTATTCATTAAACATTAACTATTTCTAAACAATGGAAATAAAAAAAAATAGAAAAATTTTCCAATAATTTTTCAGATTGTGATGTCTATCATTGGGGCTACAACTGTGAAAATACATGTGACTGCAACCCAAAGGCAGTTTTATCTTGTGATTCATTAGTTGGCTGTATTTGCAAAAATGGATGGTATGGATCTAACTGCTATCAAGATACCAATGAATGTGACAACATGATTTGTCCACAATTTTCTTTTTGCAAAAATACATTTGGATCCTATTATTGTGAATGCAATATAGGATTTCAAGAAGTCAATGGAGTATGTGTTGGTAAATATCAAATTTTGATAAAAAATATTATTATAATAAAAATGTATGGCAATATTTGTTTCTTTCTATAATTTTCATTAGTTGCAATAAAATTAAAACAGCTTTGAAGTAAACAAAAAAACTTAAAGGACTAAAACACATTTTTGCCTATTTTGGGTAACAAAACATTAGTTACTAAACCTTAAATAATGTATATATTTTAGCAACTTAAGACTAAAAACAAATTACACCTCATAACTATAATGGCAATGCAAAAAGCCTGAAAAAAAAGTAAAACTAATACTGTTGTTTTGAAGTGGTCAGGCATTTTGAACAATGAGGAGTCAAATAAAATTTTAAACATAGAGATTATGCATAGAAAACACAGATCAAAAACCTTTCCTTCTTCCTTCAAACATGAATTCTTCATAACTTTCAGATTAGTACAAAGCAGCTTTTTAGTTACCTTATTTGTCAATTTATTCTGACACACTAGGGAAAACACAGAGTTTTTATCAATAATACAAAAGAGAGAAAAAATGTGTGATATATTTATCACTGTAATATTAAAAAAAAACAACAGCTACTTGATTTCTGAGTAAAGTACTCAAGTGTTTGACAAATTGTGTTTTAAAAGCATTAATCCATGTATTCCCAAATCTACCAGCTTGTGATGCAACTCACTATGGAACAAACTGTTCATACAAATGTATGTGTGTCATGAACAACACCAATGACTGTTCTGACACTGATGGAACATGCAGCTGTAAATCTGGTTGGACAGGGATAGACTGTGAAACAGATGTGAATGAGTGTATTGACACTAGCCACTGTGGTCCACTTGAAGACTGTTACAATACAGATGGTGCTGTTGAATGCAGATGTAAGTCTGGATATGAGAACATTACAGCAGATGGAGGATGCCAAGGTAGATATGAAAAAGCTAAATTTGAAATGTTTAAATGTTATTTGCTTGAGTGTTGATGGCACATTACTATAGCATATCTATACTATTTTTAATTACATGTTGATCCTAAACTGACTGCACAATTTAACCTGTTGTTGCTAGCTGCATGCAAAAAAAGAGATATTTTGGTTGTTTATTGTAGGTTTCTGCAATTCAAAATTAGAATAATAAATGATCACTTTAACATTCTGCTAATTTGTTATACCAGAATGCAATGCAACTCATTATGGAGTCAACTGCTTACTGCCATGCAACTGTATAGTTAGCAACACAGCTGACTGTATCAATACCAATGGTGTTTGTAATTGTAAAACTGGCTGGACTGGAACTCTATGTGAATTAGATGTTGATGAATGTACAAACACAAGTGTGTGTCCAGACCCACATGATAGATGTTATAATCTGGATGGTTCATCAGAATGTAGATGTGATGTTGGATTTGTAAAACATGATAATGCTGCTCCTTGCCAAGGTAGCTGACCTAATTTTCCTCCTATATTTTGGTCAAATCTATACATGAATAACATTCAATATGTTTTGAACAATTTTTATTTACAGCTTATGCTTACGTGGGTTTTAAAAATATTTGAATATAAATAAATGGACTTCGGGTTATAAAAGTTTTATAGTTAAAGTCTGTGCTGAGAAATTATTAAGTACCATTGAAAAGCTATAGCTAAATGATCAACTGTTATCTGCATTTATGGTCCTTAATCTTGGTACATACTTATGTTGGAAAACATAAAAAGAAATAGCCCTATACCTACATGACACAATTAAGAAAAACACACAATGATACTTTTTTAAAACAGGTAGCATACAAATATATCAGTTGCATTTAATATAAAATTTAAGCAGTTGTATTAAATATTTTATTTTTACCATGTGTTTTTTAGTTTAAAATATTTAAATTATATTATAGACTTCCTCTTCCTTTGAAAACTCTTCTTTTTATAAGATTGTTTTTTGATACAATGAAAGTTATATGATGACAAATATGTTAATTTTGATAAATTAACATTGCAAAATTGAGTTTCACAACTACTACAACTGTGAGAAATAAGCCAAGGGTTGTTTTATTCATTTTAATTTTTAGTTTCTTGGTAGTCTTTAACATTGAGAGGTTTACGCAATGTATTCCCAAATCTACCAGCTTGTGATGGAACTCACTATGGAACAAACTGTTCATACAAATGTATGTGTGTCATGAACAACACCAATGACTGTTCTGACACTGATGGAACATGCAGCTGTAAATCTGGTTGGACAGGGATAGACTGTGAAACAGATGTGAATGAGTGTATTGACACTAGCCACTGTGGTCCACTTGAAGACTGTTACAATACAGATGGTGCTGCTGAATGCAGATGTAAGTCTGGATATGAGAACATTACAGCAGATGGAGGATGCCAAGGTAGATATGAAAAAGCTAAATTTGAAATGTTTAAATGTTATTTGCTTGAGTGTTGATGGCACATTCCTATAGCATATCTATTCTATTTTTAATTACATGTTGATCCTAAACTGACTGCACAATTTAACCTGTTGTTGCTAGCTGCATGCAAAAAAAGAGATATTTTGGTTGTTTATTGTAGGTTTCTGCAATTCAAAATTAGAATAATAAATGATCACTTTAACATTCTGCTAATTTTTTATACCAGAATGCAATGCAACTCATTATGGAGTCAACTGCTTACTGCCATGCAACTGTATAGTTAGCAACACAGCTGACTGTATCAATACCAATGGTGTTTGTAATTGTAAAACTGGCTGGACTGGAACTCTATGTGAATTAGATGTTGATGAATGTACAAACACAAGTGTGTGTCCAGACCCGCATGATAGATGTTATAATCTGGATGGTTCATCAGAATGTAGATGTGATGTTGGATTTGTAAAACATGATAATGCTGCTCCTTGCCAAGGTAGCTGACCTAATTTTCCTCCTATATTTTTGTCAAATCTATACATGAATAACATTCAATATGTTTTGAACAATTTTTATTTACAGCTTATGCTTAATTGGGTTTTAAAAATATTTGAAAATAAATAAATGGACTTCGGGTTATAAAAGTTTTATAGTTAAAGTCTGTGCTGAGGAATTATTAAGTACCATTGAAAAGCTATAGCTAAATGATCAACTGTTATCTGCATTTATGGTCCTTAATCTTGGTACATACTTATGTTGGAAAACATAAAAAGAAATAGCCCTATACCTACATGACAAAATTAAGAAAAACACACAACGATACTTTTTTAAAACAGGTAGCATACAAATATATCAGTTGCATTTAATATAAAATTTAAGCAGTTGTATTAAATATTTTATTTTTACCATGTGTTTTTTAGTTTAAAATATTTAAATTACATTATAGACTTCCTCTTCCTTTGAAAACTCTTCTTTTTATAAGATTTTCATTTGATACAATGAAAAATATATGATGACAAATAAGTTAATTTTGATAAATTAACATTGCTAAATTGAGTTTCACAACTACTACAACTGTGAGAAATAAGCCAAGGGTTGTTTTCTTCATTTTAATTTTTAGTTTCTTGGTAGTCTTTAACATTGAGAGGTTTACGCAATGTATTCCCAAATCTACCAGCTTGTGATGCAACTCACTATGGAACAAACTGTTCATACAAATGTATGTGTGTCATGAACAACACCAATGACTGTTCTGACACTGATGGAACATGCAGCTGTAAATCTGGTTGGACAGGGATAGACTGTGAAACAGATGTGAATGAGTGTATTGACACTAGCCACTGTGGTCCACTTGAAGACTGTTACAATACAGATGGTGCTGTTGAATGCAGATGTAAGTCTGGATATGAGAACATTACAGCAGATGGAGGATGCCAAGGTAGATATGAAAAAGCTAAATTTGAAATGTTTAAATGTTATTTGCTTGAGTGTTGATGGCACATTACTATAGCATATCTATACTATTTTTAATTACATGTTGATCCTAAACTGACTGCACAATTTAACCTGTTGTTGCTAGCTGCATGCAAAAAAAGAGATATTTTGGTTGTTTATTGTAGGTTTCTGCAATTCAAAATTAGAATAATAAATGATCACTTTAACATTCTGCTAATTTGTTATACCAGAATGCAATGCAACTCATTATGGAGTCAACTGCTTACTGCCATGCAACTGTATAGTTAGCAACACAGCTGACTGTATCAATACCAATGGTGTTTGTAATTGTAAAACTGGCTGGACTGGAACTCTATGTGAATTAGATGTTGATGAATGTACAAACACAAGTGTGTGTCCAGACCCGCATGATAGATGTTATAATCTGGATGGTTCATCAGAATGTAGATGTGATGTTGGATTTGTAAAACATGATAATGCTGCTCCTTGCCAAGGTAGCTGACCTAATTTTCCTCCTATATTTTTGTCAAATCTATACATGAATAACATTCAATATGTTTTGAACAATTTTTATTTACAGCTTATGCTTAATTGGGTTTTAAAAATATTTGAAAATAAATAAATGGACTTCGGGTTATAAAAGTTTTATAGTTAAAGTCTGTGCTGAGGAATTATTAAGTACCATTGAAAAGCTATAGCTAAATGATCAACTGTTATCTGCATTTATGGTCCTTAATCTTGGTACATACTTATGTTGGAAAACATAAAAAGAAATAGCCCTATACCTACATGACAAAATTAAGAAAAACACACAACGATACTTTTTTAAAACAGGTAGCATACAAATATATCAGTTGCATTTAATATAAAATTTAAGCAGTTGTATTAAATATTTTATTTTTACCATGTGTTTTTTAGTTTAAAATATTTAAATTACATTATAGACTTCCTCTTCCTTTGAAAACTCTTCTTTTTATAAGATTTTCATTTGATACAATGAAAAATATATGATGACAAATAAGTTAATTTTGATAAATTAACATTGCTAAATTGAGTTTCACAACTACTACAACTGTGAGAAATAAGCCAAGGGTTGTTTTCTTCATTTTAATTTTTAGTTTCTTGGTAGTCTTTAACATTGAGAGGTTTACGCAATGTATTCCCAAATCTACCAGCTTGTGATGCAACTCACTATGGAACAAACTGTTCATACAAATGTATGTGTGTCATGAACAACACCAATGACTGTTCTGACACTGATGGAACATGCAGCTGTAAATCTGGTTGGACAGGGATAGACTGTGAAACAGATGTGAATGAGTGTATTGACACTAGCCACTGTGGTCCACTTGAAGACTGTTACAATACAGATGGTGCTGTTGAATGCAGATGTAAGTCTGGATATGAGAACATTACAGCAGATGGAGGATGCCAAGGTAGATATGAAAAAGCTAAATTTGAAATGTTTAAATGTTATTTGCTTGAGTGTTGATGGCACATTACTATAGCATATCTATACTATTGTTAATTACATGTTGATCCTAAACTGACTGCACAATTTAACCTGTTGTTGCTAGCTGCATGCAAAAAAAGAGATATTTTGGTTGTTTATTGTAGGTTTCTGCAATTCAAAATTAGAATAATAAATGATCACTTTAACATTCTGCTAATTTGTTATACCAGAATGCAATGCAACTCATTATGGAGTCAACTGCTTACTGCCATGCAACTGTATAGTTAGCAACACAGCTGACTGTATCAATACCAATGGTGTTTGTAATTGTAAAACTGGCTGGACTGGAACCCTATGTGAATTAGATGTTGATGAATGTACAAACACAAGTGTGTGTCCAGACCCACATGATAGATGTTATAATCTGGATGGTTCATCAGAATGTAGATGTGATGTTGGATTTGTAAAACATGATAATGCTGCTCCTTGCCAAGGTAGCTGACCTAATTTTCCTCCTATATTTTGGTCAAATCTATACATGAATAACATTCAATATGTTTTGAACAATTTTTATTTACAGCTTATGCTTAAGTGGGTTTTAAAAATATTTGAAAATAAATAAATGGACTTCGGGTTATAAAAGTTTTATAGTTAAAGTCTGTGCTGAGAAATTATTAAGTACCATTGAAAAGCTATAGGTAAATGATCAACTGTTATCTGCATTTATGGTCCTTAATCTTGGTACATACTTATGTTGGAAAACATAAAAAGAAATAGCCCTATACCTACATGACACAATTAAGAAAAACACACAATGATACTTTTTTAAAACAGGTAGCATACAAATATATCAGTTGCATTTAATATAAAATTTAAGCAGTTGTATTAAATATTTTATTTTTACCATGTGTTTTTTAGTTTAAAATATTTAAATTATATTATAGACTTCCTCTTCCTTTGAAAACTCTTCTTTTTATAAGATTTTCATTTGATACAATGAAAGTTATATGATGACAAATATGTTCATTTTGATAAATTAACATTGCAAAATTGAGTTTCACAACTACTACAACTGTGAGAAATAAGCCAAGGGTTGTTTTCTTCATTTTAATTTTTAGTTTCTTGGTAGTCTTTAACATTGAGAGGTTTACGCAATGTATTCCCAAATCTACCAGCTTGTGATGCAACTCACTATGGAACAAACTGTTCATACAAATGTATGTGTGTCATGAACAACACCAATGACTGTTCTGACACTGATGGAACATGCAGCTGTAAATCTGGTTGGACAGGGATAGACTGTGAAACAGATGTGAATGAGTGTATTGACACTAGCCACTGTGGTCCACTTGAAGACTGTTACAATACAGATGGTGCTGTTGAATGCAGATGTAAGTCTGGATATGAGAACATTACAGCAGATGGAGGATGCCAAGGTAGATATGAAAAAGCTAAATTTGAAATGTTTAAATGTTATTTGCTTGAGTGTTGATGGCACATTACTATAGCATATCTATACTATTTTTAATTACATGTTGATCCTAAACTGACTGCACAATTTAACCTGTTGTTGCTAGCTGCATGCAAAAAAAGAGATATTTTGGTTGTTTATTGTAGGTTTCTGCAATTCAAAATTAGAATAATAAATGATCACTTTAACATTCTGCTAATTTGTTATACCAGAATGCAATGCAACTCATTATGGAGTCAACTGCTTACTGCCATGCAACTGTATAGTTAGCAACACAGCTGACTGTATCAATACCAATGGTGTTTGTAATTGTAAAACTGGCTGGACTGGAACCCTATGTGAATTAGATGTTGATGAATGTACAAACACAAGTGTGTGTCCAGACCCACATGATAGATGTTATAATCTGGATGGTTCATCAGAATGTAGATGTGATGTTGGATTTGTAAAACATGATAATGCTGCTCCTTGCCAAGGTAGCTGACCTAATTTTCCTCCTATATTTTGGTCAAATCTATACATGAATAACATTCAATATGTTTTGAACAATTTTTATTTACAGCTTATGCTTAAGTGGGTTTTAAAAATATTTGAAAATAAATAAATGGACTTCGGGTTATAAAAGTTTTATAGTTAAAGTCTGTGCTGAGAAATTATTAAGTACCATTGAAAAGCTATAGGTAAATGATCAACTGTTATCTGCATTTATGGTCCTTAATCTTGGTACATACTTATGTTGGAAAACATAAAAAGAAATAGCCCTATACCTACATGACACAATTAAGAAAAACACACAATGATACTTTTTTAAAACAGGTAGCATACAAATATATCAGTTGCATTTAATATAAAATTTAAGCAGTTGTATTAAATATTTTATTTTTACCATGTGTTTTTTAGTTTAAAATATTTAAATTATATTATAGACTTCCTCTTCCTTTGAAAACTCTTCTTTTTATAAGATTTTCATTTGATACAATGAAAGTTATATGATGACAAATATGTTCATTTTGATAAATTAACATTGCAAAATTGAGTTTCACAACTACTACAACTGTGAGAAATAAGCCAAGGGTTGTTTTCTTCATTTTAATTTTTAGTTTCTTGGTAGTCTTTAACATTGAGAGGTTTACGCAATGTATTCCCAAATCTACCAGCTTGTGATGCAACTCACTATGGAACAAACTGTTCATACAAATGTATGTGTGTCATGAACAACACCAATGACTGTTCTGACACTGATGGAACATGCAGCTGTAAATCTGGTTGGACAGGGATAGACTGTGAAACAGATGTGAATGAGTGTATTGACACTAGCCACTGTGGTCCACTTGAAGACTGTTACAATACAGATGGTGCTGTTGAATGCAGATGTAAGTCTGGATATGAGAACATTACAGCAGATGGAGGATGCCAAGGTAGATATGAAAAAGCTAAATTTGAAATGTTTAAATGTTATTTGCTTGAGTGTTGATGGCACATTACTATAGCATATCTATACTATTTTTAATTACATGTTGATCCTAAACTGACTGCACAATTTAACCTGTTGTTGCTAGCTGCATGCAAAAAAAGAGATATTTTGGTTGTTTATTGTAGGTTTCTGCAATTCAAAATTAGAATAATAAATGATCACTTTAACATTCTGCTAATTTGTTATACCAGAATGCAATGCAACTCATTATGGAGTCAACTGCTTACTGCCATGCAACTGTATAGTTAGCAACACAGCTGACTGTATCAATACCAATGGTGTTTGTAATTGTAAAACTGGCTGGACTGGAACCCTATGTGAATTAGATGTTGATGAATGTACAAACACAAGTGTGTGTCCAGACCCACATGATAGATGTTATAATCTGGATGGTTCATCAGAATGTAGATGTGATGTTGGATTTGTAAAACATGATAATGCTGCTCCTTGCCAAGGTAGCTGACCTAATTTTCCTCCTATATTTTGGTCAAATCTATACATGAATAACATTCAATATGTTTTGAACAATTTTTATTTACAGCTTATGCTTAAGTGGGTTTTAAAAATATTTGAAAATAAATAAATGGACTTCGGGTTATAAAAGTTTTATAGTTAAAGTCTGTGCTGAGAAATTATTAAGTACCATTGAAAAGCTATAGCTAAATGATCAACTGTTATCTGCATTTATGGTCCTTAATCTTGGTACATACTTATGTTGGAAAACATAAAAAGAAATAGCCCTATACCTACATGACACAATTAAGAAAAACACACAATGATACTTTTTTAAAACAGGTAGCATACAAATATATTAGTTGCATTTAATATAAAATTTAAGCAGTTGTATTAAATATTTTATTTTTACCATGTGTTTTTTAGTTAAAAATATTTAAATTATATTATAGACTTCCTCTTCCTTTGAAAACTCTTCTTTCTATAAGATTTTCATTTGATACAATGAAAGTTATATGATGACAAATATGTTAATTTTGATAAATTAACATTGCAAAATTGAGTTTCACAACTACTACAACTGTGAAAAATAAGCCAAGGGTTGTTTTATTCATTTTAATTTTTAGTTTCTTGGTAGTCTTTAACATTGAGAGGTTTACGCAATGTATTCCCAAATCTACCAGCTTGTGATGCAACTCACTATGGAACAAACTGTTCATACAAATGTATGTGTGTCATGAACAACACCAATGACTGTTCTGACACTGATGGAACATGCAGCTGTAAATCTGGTTGGACAGGGATAGACTGTGAAACAGATGTGAATGAGTGTATTGACACTAGCCACTGTGGTCCACTTGAAGACTGTTACAATACAGATGGTGCTGTTGAATGCAGATGTAAGTCTGGATATGAGAACATTACAGCAGATGGAGGATGCCAAGGTAGATATGAAAAAGCTCAACTTTGAAATGTTTAAATGTTATTTGCTTGAGTGTTGATGGCACATTACTATAGCATATCTATACTATTTTTAATTTCATGTTGATCCTATACTGACTGCACAATTTAACCTGTTGTTGCTAGCTGCATGCAAAAAAAGATTTATTTTGGTTGTTCGTTGTAGGTTTCCACAATTCAAAATTTGAATAATAAATGAACTCTATAACATTTTTGTTTATTTGTTATAACAGAATGCAATGCAACTCATTATGGAGTCAACTGCTTACTGCCATGTAACTGTATAGTAAGCAACACAGCTGACTGTAACAATACCAATGGTGTTTGTAATTGTAAAACTGGCTGGACTGGAACCCTATGTGAATTAGATGTTGATGAATGTACAAACACAAGTGTGTGTCCAGACCCACATGATAGATGTTATAATCTGGATGGTTCATCAGAATGTAGATGTGATGTTGGATTTGTAAAACATGATAATGCTGCTCCTTGCCAAGGTAGCTGACCTAATTTTCCTCCTATATTTTTGTCAAATCTATACATGAATAACATTCAATATGTTTTGAACAATTTTTATTTACAGCTTATGCTTACGTGGTTTTTAAAAATATTTGAATATAAATAAATGGACTTCGGGTTATAAAAGTTTTATAGTTAAAGTCTGTGCTGAGAAATTATTAAGTACCATTGAAAAGCTATAGCTAAATGATCAACTGTTATCTGCATTTATGGTCCTTAATCTTGGTACATACTTATGTTGGAAAACATAAAAAGAAATAGCCCTATACCTACATGACACAATTAAGAAAAACACACAATGATACTTTTTTAAAACAGGTAGCATACAAATATATCAGTTGCATTTAATATAAAATTTAAGCAGTTGTATTAAATATTTTATTTTTACCATGTGTTTTTTAGTTTAAAATATTTAAATTATATTATAGACTTCCTCTTCCTTTGAAAACTCTTCTTTTTATAAGATTTTCATTTGATACAATGAAAGTTATATGATGACAAATATGTTAATTTTGATAAATTAACATTGCAAAATTGAGTTTCACAACTACTACAACTGTGAGAAATAAGCCAAGGGTTGTTTTCTTCATTTTAATTTTTAGTTTCTTGGTAGTCTTTAACATTGAGAGGTTTACGCAATGTATTCCCAAATCTACCAGCTTGTGATGCAACTCACTATGGAACAAACTGTTCATACAAATGTATGTGTGTCATGAACAACACCAATGACTGTTCTGACACTGATGGAACATGCAGCTGTAAATCTGGTTGGACAGGGATAGACTGTGGAACAGATGTGAATGAGTGTATTGACACTAGCCACTGTGGTCCACTTGAAGACTGTTACAATACAGATGGTGCTGTTGAATGCAGATGTAAGCCTGGATATGAGAACATTACAGCAGATGGAGGATGCCAAGGTAGATATGAAAAAGCTAAATTTGAAATGTTTAAATGTTATTTGCTTGAGTGTTGATGGCACATTACTATAGCATATCTATACTATTTTTAATTTCATGTTGATCCTAAACTGACTGCACAATTTAACCTGTTGTTGCTAGCTGCATGCAAAAAAAGAGATATTTTGGTTGTTTATTGTAGGTTTCTGCAATTCAAAATTAGAATAATAAATGATCACTTTAACATTCTGCTAATTTGTTATACCAGAATGCAATGCAACTCATTATGGAGTCAACTGCTTACTGCCATGCAACTGTATAGTTAGCAACACAGCTGACTGTATCAATACCAATGGTGTTTGTAATTGTAAAACTGGCTGGACTGGAACTCTATGTGAATTAGATGTTGATGAATGTACAAACACAAGTTTGTGTCCAGACCCACATGATAGATGTTATAATCTGGATGGTTCATCAGAATGTAGATGTGATGTTGGATTTGTAAAACATGATAATGCTGCTCCTTGCCAAGGTAGCTGACCTAATTTTCCTCCTATATTTTGGTCAAATCTATACATGAATAACATTCAATATGTTTTGAACAATTTTTATTTACAGCTTATGCTTAAGTGGGTTTTAAAAATATTTGAAAATAAATAAATGGACTTCGGGTTATAAAAGTTTTATAGTTAAAGTCTGTGCTGAGAAATTATTAAGTACCATTGAAAAGCTATAGCTAAATGATCAACTGTTATCTGCATTTATGGTCCTTAATCTTGGTACATACTTATGTTGGAAAACATAAAAAGAAATAGCCCTATACCTACATGACACAATTAAGAAAAACACACAATGATACTTTTTTAAAACAGGTAGCATACAAATATATCAGTTGCATTTAATATAAAATTTAAGCAGTTGTATTAAATATTTTATTTTTACCATGTGTTTTTTAGTTTAAAATATTTAAATTATATTATAGACTTCCTCTTCCTTTGAAAACTCTTCTTTTTATAAGATTTTTTTTTGATACAATGAAAGTTATATGATGACAAATATGTTCATTTTGATAAATTAACATTGCAAAATTGAGTTTCACAACTACTACAACTGTGAGAAATAAGCCAAGGGTTGTTTTATTCATTTTAATTTTTAGTTTCTTGGTAGTCTTTAACATTGAGAGGTTTACGCAATGTATTCCCAAATCTACCAGCTTGTGATGCAACTCACTATGGAACAAACTGTTCATACAAATGTATGTGTGTCATGAACAACACCAATGACTGTTCTGACACTGATGGAACATGCAGCTGTAAATCTGGTTGGACAGGGATAGACTGTGGAACAGATGTGAATGAGTGTTTGGACACTAGCCACTGTGGTCCACTTGAAGACTGTTACAATACAGATGGTGCTGCTGAATGCAGATGTAAGTCTGGATATGAGAACATTACAGCAGATGGAGGATGCCAAGGTAGATATGAAAAAGCTAAATTTGAAATGTTTAAATGTTATTTGCTTGAGTGTTGATGGCACATTCCTATAGCATATCTATTCTATTTTTAATTACATGTTGATCCTAAACTGACTGCACAATTTAACCTGTTGTTGCTAGCTGCATGCAAAAAAAGAGATATTTTGGTTGTTTATTGTAGGTTTCTGCAATTCAAAATTAGAATAATAAATGATCACTTTAACATTCTGCTAATTTGTTATACCAGAATGCAATGCAACTCATTATGGAGTCAACTGCTTACTGCCATGCAACTGTATAGTTAGCAACACAGCTGACTGTATCAATACCAATGGTGTTTGTAATTGTAAAACTGGCTGGACTGGAACTCTATGTGAATTAGATGTTGATGAATGTACAAACACAAGTGTGTGTCCAGACCCACATGATAGATGTTATAATCTGGATGGTTCATCAGAATGTAGATGTGATGTTGGATTTGTAAAACATGATAATGCTGCTCCTTGCCAAGGTAGCTGACCTAATTTTCCTCCTATATTTTTGTCAAATCTATACATGAATAACATTCAATATGTTTTGAACAATTTTTATTTACAGCTTATGCTTAATTGGGTTTTAAAAATATTTGAAAATAAATAAATGGACTTCGGGTTATAAAAGTTTTATAGTTAAAGTCTGTGCTGAGGAATTATTAAGTACCATTGAAAAGCTATAGCTAAATGATCAACTGTTATCTGCATTTATGGTCCTTAATCTTGGTACATACTTATGTTGGAAAACATAAAAAGAAATAGCCCTATACCTACATGACAAAATTAAGAAAAACACACAACGATACTTTTTTAAAACAGGAGCATACAAATATATCAGTTGCATTTAATATAAAATTTAAGCAGTTGTATTAAATATTTTATTTTTACCATGTGTTTTTTAGTTTAAAATATTTAAATTACATTATAGACTTCCTCTTCCTTTGAAAACTCTTCTTTTTATAAGATTTTCATTTGATACAATGAAAAATATATGATGACAAATATGTTAATTTTGATAAATTAACATTGCTAAATTGAGTTTCACAACTACTACAACTGTGAGAAATAAGCCAAGGGTTGTTTTATTCATTTTAATTTTTAGTTTCTTGGTAGTCTTTAACATTGAGAGGTTTACGCAATGTATTCCCAAATCTACCAGCTTGTGATGCAACTCACTATGGAACAAACTGTTCATACAAATGTATGTGTGTCATGAACAACACCAATGACTGTTCTGACACTGATGGAACATGCAGCTGTAAATCTGGTTGGACAGGGATAGACTGTGAAACAGATGTGAATGAGTGTATTGACACTAGCCACTGTGGTCCACTTGAAGACTGTTACAATACAGATGGTGCTGTTGAATGCAGATGTAAGCCTGGATATGAGAACATTACAGCAGATGGAGGATGCCAAGGTAGATATGAAAAAGCTAAATTTGAAATGTTTAAATGTTATTTGCTTGAGTGTTGATGGCACATTACTATAGCATATCTATACTATTTTTAATTACATGTTGATCCTAAACTGACTGCACAATTTAACCTGTTGTTGCTAGCTGCATGCAAAAAAAGAGATATTTTGGTTGTTTATTGTAGGTTTCTGCAATTCAAAATTAGAATAATAAATGATCACTTTAACATTCTGCTAATTTGTTATACCAGAATGCAATGCAACTCATTATGGAGTCAACTGCTTACTGCCATGCAACTGTATAGTTAGCAACACAGCTGACTGTATCAATACCAATGGTGTTTGTAATTGTAAAACTGGCTGGACTGGAACCCTATGTGAATTAGATGTTGATGAATGTACAAACACAAGTGTGTGTCCAGACCCACATGATAGATGTTATAATCTGGATGGTTCATCAGAATGTAGATGTGATGTTGGATTTGTAAAACATGATAATGCTGCTCCTTGCCAAGGTAGCTGACCTAATTTTCCTCCTATATTTTGGTCAAATCTATACATGAATAACATTCAATATGTTTTGAACAATTTTTATTTACAGCTTATGCTTAAGTGGGTTTTAAAAATATTTGAAAATAAATAAATGGACTTCGGGTTATAAAAGTTTTATAGTTTAAGTCTGTGCTGAGAAATTATTAAGTACCATTGAAAAGCTATAGGTAAATGATCAACTGTTATCTGCATTTATGGTCCTTAATCTTGGTACATACTTATGTTGGAAAACATAAAAAGAAATAGCCCTATACCTACATGACACAATTAAGAAAAACACACAATGATACTTTTTTAAAACAGGTAGCATACAAATATATCAGTTGCATTTAATATAAAATTTAAGCAGTTGTATTAAATATTTTATTTTTACCATGTGTTTTTTAGTTTAAAATATTTAAATTATATTATAGACTTCCTCTTCCTTTGAAAACTCTTCTTTTTATAAGATTTTCATTTGATACAATGAAAGTTATATGATGACAAATATGTTCATTTTGATAAATTAACATTGCAAAATTGAGTTTCACAACTACTACAACTGTGAGAAATAAGCCAAGGGTTGTTTTCTTCATTTTAATTTTTAGTTTCTTGGTAGTCTTTAACATTGAGAGGTTTACGCAATGTATTCCCAAATCTACCAGCTTGTGATGCAACTCACTATGGAACAAACTGTTCATACAAATGTATGTGTGTCATGAACAACACCAATGACTGTTCTGACACTGATGGAACATGCAGCTGTAAATCTGGTTGGACAGGGATAGACTGTGAAACAGATGTGAATGAGTGTATTGACACTAGCCACTGTGGTCCACTTGAAGACTGTTACAATACAGATGGTGCTGTTGAATGCAGATGTAAGTCTGGATATGAGAACATTACAGCAGATGGAGGATGCCAAGGTAGATATGAAAAAGCTAAATTTGAAATGTTTAAATGTTATTTGCTTGAGTGTTGATGGCACATTACTATAGCATATCTATACTATTTTTAATTACATGTTGATCCTAAACTGACTGCACAATTTAACCTGTTGTTGCTAGCTGCATGCAAAAAAAGAGATATTTTGGTTGTTTATTGTAGGTTTCTGCAATTCAAAATTAGAATAATAAATGATCACTTTAACATTCTGCTAATTTGTTATACCAGAATGCAATGCAACTCATTATGGAGTCAACTGCTTACTGCCATGCAACTGTATAGTTAGCAACACAGCTGACTGTATCAATACCAATGGTGTTTGTAATTGTAAAACTGGCTGGACTGGAACCCTATGTGAATTAGATGTTGATGAATGTACAAACACAAGTGTGTGTCCAGACCCACATGATAGATGTTATAATCTGGATGGTTCATCAGAATGTAGATGTGATGTTGGATTTGTAAAACATGATAATGCTGCTCCTTGCCAAGGTAGCTGACCTAATTTTCCTCCTATATTTTTGTCAAATCTATACATGAATAACATTCAATATGTTTTGAACAATTTTTATTTACAGCTTATGCTTAATTGGGTTTTAAAAATATTTGAAAATAAATAAATGGACTTCGGGTTATAAAAGTTTTATAGTTAAAGTCTGTGCTGAGGAATTATTAAGTACCATTGAAAAGCTATAGCTAAATGATCAACTGTTATCTGCATTTATGGTCCTTAATCTTGGTACATACTTATGTTGGAAAACATAAAAAGAAATAGCCCTATACCTACATGATAAAATTAAGAAAAACACACAACGATACTTTTTTAAAACAGGTAGCATACAAATATATCAGTTGCATTTAATATAAAATTTAAGCAGTTGTATTAAATATTTTATTTTTACCATGTGTTTTTTAGTTTAAAATATTTAAATTACATTATAGACTTCCTCTTCCTTTGAAAACTCTTCTTTTTATAAGATTTTCATTTGATACAATGAAAAATATATGATGACAAATATGTTAATTTTGATAAATTAACATTGCTAAATTGAGTTTCACAACTACTACAACTGTGAGAAATAAGCCAAGGGTTGTTTTATTCATTTTAATTTTTAGTTTCTTGGTAGTCTTTAACATTGAGAGGTTTACGCAATGTATTCCCAAATCTACCAGCTTGTGATGCAACTCACTATGGAACAAACTGTTCATACAAATGTATGTGTGTCATGAACAACACCAATGACTGTTCTGACACTGATGGAACATGCAGCTGTAAATCTGGTTGGACAGGGATAGACTGTGAAACAGATGTGAATGAGTGTATTGACACTAGCCACTGTGGTCCACTTGAAGACTGTTACAATACAGATGGTGCTGTTGAATGCAGATGTAAGTCTGGATATGAGAACATTACAGCAGATGGAGGATGCCAAGGTAGATATGAAAAAGCTAAATTTGAAATGTTTAAATGTTATTTGCTTGAGTGTTGATGGCACATTACTATAGCATATCTATACTATTTTTAATTACATGTTGATCCTAAACTGACTGCACAATTTAACCTGTTGTTGCTAGCTGCATGCAAAAAAAGAGATATTTTGGTTGTTTATTGTAGGTTTCTGCAATTCAAAATTAGAATAATAAATGATCACTTTAACATTCTGCTAATTTGTTATACCAGAATGCAATGCAACTCATTATGGAGTCAACTGCTTACTGCCATGCAACTGTATAGTTAGCAACACAGCTGACTGTATCAATACCAATGGTGTTTGTAATTGTAAAACTGGCTGGACTGGAACCCTATGTGAATTAGATGTTGATGAATGTACAAACACAAGTGTGTGTCCAGACCCACATGATAGATGTTATAATCTGGATGGTTCATCAGAATGTAGATGTGATGTTGGATTTGTAAAACATGATAATGCTGCTCCTTGCCAAGGTAGCTGACCTAATTTTCCTCCTATATTTTTGTCAAATCTATACATGAATAACATTCAATATGTTTTGAACAATTTTTATTTACAGCTTATGCTTAAGTGGGTTTTAAAAATATTTGAAAATAAATAAATGGACTTCGGGTTATAAAAGTTTTATAGTTAAAGTCTGTGCTGAGAAATTATTAAGTACCATTGAAAAGCTATAGGTAAATGATCAACTGTTATCTGCATTTATGGTCCTTAATCTTGGTACATACTTATGTTGGAAAACATAAAAAGAAATAGCCCTATACCTACATGACACAATTAAGAAAAACACACAATGATACTTTTTTAAAACAGGTAGCATACAAATATATCAGTTGCATTTAATATAAAATTTAAGCAGTTGTATTAAATATTTTATTTTTACCATGTGTTTTTTAGTTTAAAATATTTAAATTATATTATAGACTTCCTCTTCCTTTGAAAACTCTTCTTTTTATAAGATTTTCATTTGATACAATGAAAGTTATATGATGACAAATATGTTCATTTTGATAAATTAACATTGCAAAATTGAGTTTCACAACTACTACAACTGTGAGAAATAAGCCAAGGGTTGTTTTCTTCATTTTAATTTTTAGTTTCTTGGTAGTCTTTAACATTGAGAGGTTTACGCAATGTATTCCCAAATCTACCAGCTTGTGATGCAACTCACTATGGAACAAACTGTTCATACAAATGTATGTGTGTCATGAACAACACCAATGACTGTTCTGACACTGATGGAACATGCAGCTGTAAATCTGGTTGGACAGGGATAGACTGTGAAACAGATGTGAATGAGTGTATTGACACTAGCCACTGTGGTCCACTTGAAGACTGTTACAATACAGATGGTGCTGTTGAATGCAGATGTAAGTCTGGATATGAGAACATTACAGCAGATGGAGGATGCCAAGGTAGATATGAAAAAGCTAAATTTGAAATGTTTAAATGTTATTTGCTTGAGTGTTGATGGCACATTACTATAGCATATCTATACTATTTTTAATTACATGTTGATCCTAAACTGACTGCACAATTTAACCTGTTGTTGCTAGCTGCATGCAAAAAAAGAGATATTTTGGTTGTTTATTGTAGGTTTCTGCAATTCAAAATTAGAATAATAAATGATCACTTTAACATTCTGCTAATTTGTTATACCAGAATGCAATGCAACTCATTATGGAGTCAACTGCTTACTGCCATGCAACTGTATAGTTAGCAACACAGCTGACTGTATCAATACCAATGGTGTTTGTAATTGTAAAACTGGCTGGACTGGAACCCTATGTGAATTAGATGTTGATGAATGTACAAACACAAGTGTGTGTCCAGACCCACATGATAGATGTTATAATCTGGATGGTTCATCAGAATGTAGATGTGATGTTGGATTTGTAAAACATGATAATGCTGCTCCTTGCCAAGGTAGCTGACCTAATTTTCCTCCTATATTTTGGTCAAATCTATACATGAATAACATTCAATATGTTTTGAACAATTTTTATTTACAGCTTATGCTTAAGTGGGTTTTAAAAATATTTGAAAATAAATAAATGGACTTCGGGTTATAAAAGTTTTATAGTTAAAGTCTGTGCTGAGAAATTATTAAGTACCATTGAAAAGCTATAGGTAAATGATCAACTGTTATCTGCATTTATGGTCCTTAATCTTGGTACATACTTATGTTGGAAAACATAAAAAGAAATAGCCCTATACCTACATGACACAATTAAGAAAAACACACAATGATACTTTTTTAAAACAGGTAGCATACAAATATATTAGTTGCATTTAATATAAAATTTAAGCAGTTGTATTAAATATTTTATTTTTACCATGTGTTTTTTAGTTAAAAATATTTAAATTATATTATAGACTTCCTCTTCCTTTGAAAACTCTTCTTTCTATAAGATTTTCATTTGATACAATGAAAGTTATATGATGACAAATATGTTAATTTTGATAAATTAACATTGCAAAATTGAGTTTCACAACTACTACAACTGTGAAAAATAAGCCAAGGGTTGTTTTATTCATTTTAATTTTTAGTTTCTTGGTAGTCTTTAACATTGAGAGGTTTACGCAATGTATTCCCAAATCTACCAGCTTGTGATGCAACTCACTATGGAACAAACTGTTCATACAAATGTATGTGTGTCATGAACAACACCAATGACTGTTCTGACACTGATGGAACATGCAGCTGTAAATCTGGTTGGACAGGGATAGACTGTGAAACAGATGTGAATGAGTGTATTGACACTAGCCACTGTGGTCCACTTGAAGACTGTTACAATACAGATGGTGCTGTTGAATGCAGATGTAAGTCTGGATATGAGAACATTACAGCAGATGGAGGATGCCAAGGTAGATATGAAAAAGCTCAACTTTGAAATGTTTAAATGTTATTTGCTTGAGTGTTGATGGCACATTACTATAGCATATCTATACTATTTTTAATTTCATGTTGATCCTAAACTGACTGCACAATTTAACCTGTTGTTGCTAGCTGCATGCAAAAAAAGATTTATTTTGGTTGTTTGTTGTAGGTTTCCACAATTCAAAATTTGAATAATAAATGAACTCTATAACATTTTTGTTTATTTGTTATAACAGAATGCAATGCAACTCATTATGGAGTCAACTGCTTACTGCCATGCAACTGTATAGTTAGCAACACAGCTGACTGTATCAATACCAATGGTGTTTGTAATTGTAAAACTGGCTGGACTGGAACCCTATGTGAATTAGATGTTGATGAATGTACAAACACAAGTGTGTGTCCAGACCCACATGATAGATGTTATAATCTGGATGGTTCATCAGAATGTAGATGTGATGTTGGATTTGTAAAACATGATAATGCTGCTCCTTGCCAAGGTAGCTGACCTAATTTTCCTCCTATATTTTTGTCAAATCTATACATGAATAACATTCAATATGTTTTGAACAATTTTTATTTACAGCTTATGCTTACGTGGGTTTTAAAAATATTTGAATATAAATAAATGGACTTCGGGTTATAAAAGTTTTATAGTTAAAGTCTGTGCTGAGAAATTATTAAGTACCATTGAAAAGCTATAGCTAAATGATCAACTGTTATCTGCATTTATGGTCCTTAATCTTGGTACATACTTATGTTGGAAAACATAAAAAGAAATAGCCCTATACCTACATGACACAATTAAGAAAAACACACAACGATACTTTTTTAAAACAGGTAGCATACAAATATATCAGTTGCATTTAATATAAAATTTAAGCAGTTGTATTAAATATTTTATTTTTACCATGTGTTTTTTAGTTAAAAATATTTAAATTACATTATAGACTTCCTCTTCCTTTGAAAACTCTTCTTTTTATAAGATTTTCATTTGATACAATGAAAGTTATATGATGACAAATATGTTAATTATGATAAATTAACATTGCAAAATTGCGTTTCACAACTACTACAACTGTGAGAAATAAGCCAAGGGTTATTTTATTAATTTTAATTTTTAGTTTCTTGGTAGTCTTTAACATTGAGAGGTTTAAGCAATGTATTCCCAAATCTACCAGCTTGTGATGCAACTCACTATGGCACAAACTGTTCTTACAAATGTATGTGTGTCATGAACAACACCAATGACTGTTCTGACACTGATGGAACATGCAGCTGTAAATCTGGTTGGACAGGGATAGACTGTGGAACAGATGTGAATGAGTGTTTGGACACTAGCCACTGTGGTCCACTTGAAGACTGTTACAATACAGATGGTGCTGCTGAATGCAGATGTAAGTCTGGATATGAGAACATTACAGCAGATGGAGGATGCCAAGGTAGATATGAAAAAGCTCAACTTTGAAATGTTTAAATGTTAATTGCTTGAGTGTTGATGGCACATTACTATAGCATATCTATACTATTTTTAATTTCACGTTGATCCCAAACTGACTGCACCATTTAACCTTTTGTTGTTAGCTGCATGCAAAAAAATACATTTTAGTTGTTTGTTGTAGGTTTCAGCAATTCAAAATTAGAATAATAAATGAACACTTTAACATTTCTGCTAATTTGTTATAACAGAATGCAATGCAACTCATTATGGAGTCAACTGCTTACTGCCATGTAACTGTATAGTAAGCAACACAGCTGACTGTAACAATACCAATGGTGTTTGTAATTGTAAAACTGGCTGGACTGGAACTCTATGTGAATTAGATGTTGATGAATGTACAAACACAAGTTTGTGTCCAGACCCACATGATAGATGTTTTAATCTGGATGGTTCATCAGAATGTAGATGTGAAGTTGGATTTGTAAAACATGATATAGCTGCTCCTTGCCAAGGTAGCTGACCTAATTTTCCTCCTATATTTTTGTCAAATCTATACATGAATAACATTAAATTTGTTTTGAAGAATTTTCATTTACAGCTTATGCTTAAGTGAGTTTTAAAAAATATTTGAAAAAAATTAAATGGACTTCATTTTATAAAAGTTTTATAGTTAAAATCTGAGCTGAGAAATTATTAAGTACCATTGAAAAGCTATAGCTAAATGATCAACTGTTATCTGCATTTATGGTCCTTAAATCTTGGTACATACTTATGTTGGAAAACATAAAAAGAAATAGCTCTATGCCTACATGACATAATTTAAAAAAACACGCAATAATACTTTTTTTTAAAAAAAGGTAGCATACAAATATATCAGTTGCATTTATATAAAATTTAAGCAGTTGTATTTAATATTTTATTTCTACCATGTGTTTTTTTAGTTAAAAATATTTAAATTATATTATAGACTTCCTCTTCCTTTGAAAACTCTTCTTTTTATAAGATTTTCATTTGATACAAAAAAATTATCTGATGACAAATATGTTAATTTTGATTAATTAACATTGCAAAATTGAGTTTCACAGCTACTGCAACTTTGAGAAATAAGCCAAGGGTTATTTAATTAATTTTAAATTTCTTGGTAGTCTTTAACATTGAGAGGTTAAAGCAATGTGTTCCCAAATCTACCAGCTTGTGATGCAACTCACTACGGAACAAACTGTTCTTACAAATGTATGTGTGTCATGAACAACACCAATGACTGTTCTGACACTGATGGAACATGCAGCTGTAAATCTGGTTGGACAGGGATAGACTGTGGAACAGATGTGAATGAGTGTATTGACACTAGCCACTGTGGTCCACTTGAAGACTGTTACAATACAGATGGTGCTGCTGAATGCAGATGTAAGCCTGGATATGAGAACATTACAGCAGATGGAGGATGCAAAGGTATATTTAATTTGTTAAGTATCAATAGAAAATGATATATATATACAATTAATCATGTTACTGTTATTATGTTTCTAGGTTTTTTATACCAATAGGAATAGTGAATTCATCTTTCATAAAGGACATCAAACTTGTTAAATAATTTTACCTCATGCAGTACCAAACATCACACCTCACACATGCCCCCACCCCCCACCCCCACCTAATTAACTAGAATTCACTCAAAAGAGCATTTTTTTTTAACATCAGTTTATTTCTTACATAGTTTTTTATTTTGATCCACATAGAGAACATCAATCAATTTTAAATTTATCTTAAAAACAAAATCCTTCCTAAAATGCTAAGCAAAAAAAAAAAAACAGTATGAAACTTCTTTTTCTTATTGTTAGCATGAATTGCTTTACCCTCCTTTCCTTCAATAATATGTTAGTTTAAATTCTTTTACTGATCATAAGCAATTCATTTTTTTAACTCATATGAAATGAAAATACATTTTGGGCCATTTTGATAAGAGGACAAACTTCCAATTATATTTATACAGTTTTAGGTTTTCAAAATTATACATACTTTTAAATTTTCATTTTTTTTACTTACAATTAGTGTAAAAGTTTAGAGTCCCATTGCAAATGAAAAAAAAATTAAAATGAAAAAAACTATATCAAAATTGGATATTTTTAAAATGAACTGCTTGTACATAAGTTTTTCAGAAATGATTGTGATTAAAATAATGTTATAACTCTTTTACAAATATATTACTTTGTTTATTCTAAATTAGTCTTCAAAAAATTATAAGTATTTATATTAAAATAAGATATTGAAAACTATTTAAAATTAAAATGAAATAAACCGTAAATCATACAAATCCTTAGAGCATAGAAAAGTTGTTGTTAAGTCCATAATTTGTGTTTTTACTAATATAATAAAAAAATAATTTTTTTTTTTTTTTTAACCTCATGTCTATATTTGTGTTTATTTCAGCTGTTTCATTGTGTCACAACTGTACAGACTCTGAGATTTGCATGGTTTACTCTGTTAATGAATGGACCTGCAGGTTAAATGTTTTTTAGGTTTTATAGTTAGGCCTTCTGATTCTATGAGCTACACATTTCATTATTTATCATATTAATAGTCAGCCTTCTTCATGTAAATTAAACATGCATTGATTTCAAAATATTTTTTTTTTAATTTTCAGTTTGCTACATGTTTGTTTTAAATAATGTCTTACCTCTGATTTAATTTTATTTTGAAACAAATTGTGTCAAAAATTAAACTATGTATTCCTGCAATTCATTACAATTACAAGTTACATTTACAACAAAGTTTTTTTTTAAAATTTAAAATTGTAATAATGTTTAGTTTTAATTAACTAGTTTTTATATAATACAGACAACAACTGAAGAAAAACAAAATTCTTAAAATCATGATTCAAAAATGATAAAGATATTACAAAAAAATGTATAAATCTTATCAAATACAATTAGTAGGCCTATATTTAAAAAAAAAACATAATGATTGAAAATAATTAGCTTTAGTAAATTTCATTCCTTTTTTTTTAATTTTTAGGTTCAATGACTCACGTAAGTTGTCAAAAAAAAACAAATTATTTTATTTGTCTGTGACTACTTACCAAAAAATAAAATATAAATTGAATTGTAATCATTATAGTGTGTTACTTTACTATGTAATCATTTTATATTATTTTTATATATTGTACAATACCATTTTCATTTTTCTTTTAAATGTATAGGCATATATCCTTATGGAAGATTAGCGAATGATAAAACCTTACCCAAAAATGAAGAATTGGCTACAGCAAATCTTCAAATAGAAGATTCTATGCCATATCACCAGGATTTTATAAGATCTGTTTGGGTTTGTACTAAATATGTAGCCTTTATATAAATAAATAAATAAATATATATATATATATATATATATATATATATATATATATATATATATATATATATATAAAAATAATTTTGTTTACATGGTAATAAATTGTACTGGCTGGTTTATCAAGAAAAATGATGTGATTGTTTTTTTATTAGGTATCAGTGAATGGGCTAATAAGTCTAGAAAAAGAGTATTCAAGTTTTAACCCCCAGAGGTTACCTGTAATGGACAAAAACAATGACCAGCTCAAGCTCTTAGCAGTGTACTGGACTGATCTTGATAATATAGAGAGTGATAATTGTAATGTTTACTATCAGGTAACTTATTGCATTACTAGATTAAAAGGATTTGTTAATAATTGTCAATTTTGATTTGAGAAATAATGTCTTTTTGAGAGTTTAAAGGTAAAATGTTCTATTATATTTTTAGATGTATGACAGGTATTCTAATAATCCTACATCTGCTGCAATACTTGCCAAGGCAAATGCTGATGTTACAGCATTTAGAGGTACTGAAAATAGTTTCAACTCTACAACAATAATAGTGGCAACTTGGGTAAACATTCCCGCTCATGGAAGTGTAGATGAGGTAACAGTGATTATCTTACTTCCCCGCCACCCTCCTTGTCTCTTTTTTTTGTCTCTTTCATTTTCTCATCTAAATTGGATATTGGATACTCTCTATATACATTTTTTTGTCTTGTAATAATTGTGTATAGCCTCAGGGGCATAGCGAGGGGGGGGGGGGGGCGGGGGGTGCGGACCGCACCGGGTGACACCATTTAGGGGGGATGACACCAAGGCAAAAAATAGCAAAATATATAGAGAAAAACTCGATGGGGGGGTGCAAATCGAAAACTTGAGGAGGGGGGGTGCACAACGAAAGTTTGAGGGGGGGGGGGTGCTAATCAAAAACTTGAAAGTTTGTCCCCGGGAAGGGTCGCAACGCCTCTGGGGGGGGGGGGTGACACCATTAATTGCCGCACCGGGTGACACCCGACCTCGCTACGCCACTGTATAGCCTACATTGAAAATCTATATATATAATTCTCTTCTGGGAGCCGCTAGAAAACAAGCTGCAAACGCGCCTAGAAAACAAGCTGTAAACGCGCTCCCTACCTCCCCACCCCTACATGGTTTTAGTGAGCTGTGTTCACTCTTAATGTTTACAAGCAGAGCCAAGGATTTTAACGTTAGGGGGGGGGGGAGGGAGGGGGGAAGGAAGGGGGGGGGGGGTTACGGTCCTTAACGAGCTACTTGTATTTAATATTACCTTTCTCAGTTTTTATTTATGATTCTTTTTTTTTTCAGCGTGCGTCATTCCAGTGCATTATAATATCAGATGGGCAATCAACATATGCTATATACATATACATCCAAGGTTCTTTGAAGCTAAAACCAGTATCAAACAGAAATGTTGAAATTGGTTGGGCGAATTTTAGCTTAGATACTTCACTAGCAAGTTACTATAGTTTTGATACAGTTATTGGGAATACTGGTAAGTAAAATTTTTATTAATTTCTTCCCTCTTAATATTCCTAAGAAAGCTTTAAAAAAAAAATGAACATTAAGTTTCATTAGTATTAATATCTTTTTACATTATCAATTCACCATAAACATACAATTAACAGGCTTGATTCTCTGTTGTGTACATTTTTTAAGGGGATATGCTCATTAAAAAATAACCAAAATCCTGATTTTCGTCATAATGTTGTTTTTTTTTGCACTTTTGGATACTTTGACCATTTTTGTATTAAGAAAATAAAAACTTAATATAGAAAAAAAAATGTATGTATTTCAAATACCATTTTTTTTTACCCTATTAATTACAAAAGAATTTTTTTTTCCCAATCTTACAAGCTCTCTACAAAAATTTCATATCAGTCATCATATTGTATTTGTCATCATTGGAAAGCTTGATTTCTTATGTATCTGATAATTGTAGTTTTCATCTTCTAGGAAACACCCAAAGTTTACCATTTGCTTTAAAAATTACACAAAAATGGTATTTTCGTTATCTACTTTTTGTTACTTTCAATTTTTTTCTCATTTTGTAGTTTTTTTAACTCAAAAAGACCTACTACTTTTATATTTATTAAACAATACCCACCGTATTTTCAGTAATTGCTCTTCATGCAAAAAATAAAACTTTTGTCAATAGGGAATTTATGGTAAATACTATGCACATTTTAAAACTTTTGCATACCAAAAAGGGTACGATTTTTCGGACTTTATAGAATTTTGACTTATAGCTCTTTTAAAAAGTTGTTGTGACAGAAGTTTTAATATACACTGAAATACAAGTCGTTTAAAAGTTGTTTGCTATAAGTGCATAAATAGAAAAGTTATAAAGTACAGAAAAATTCAAAACGGCGGCAGTTTTTTTCGGGTTTCCAAGAAAGATAAAATTGTTTTCGACCATTTTTTAAATAGTTTAATAATTACTTTCATGTGCCTAACATGGTAAAATTATTCAAAAGGGTTCAGTTTTTTATATTGTATAAAATAGAAAAAAAAACTGAGCATATCCCTCCTTAAAAATTCAGTAAATGCTTTATGTAGATTAGTGAAAAACATAAATTTAATTAATATTCAGGAAAACCTGGCTTTTGGATCTTCAAGATAGGAGAGAACGAAAACTTCAGGATGAAATGTCGTTCTTGGTTTAATTCAAACCAATGGGAACTTCAAAGTTAGTAATTACCTAGTGGTTTAATTAAAAAAATGTAATTGGACCAGATTGGACACAACCAAGATATTTAGGCCTATTTTTATTTCATTTAAGTCTATGAATAAGGTCCTAATTATAACAACAGTAATTGGTTGATTGTACTTCAATCTCATATAGGCTGCATCATATGTGCACATAACTCAATGTTCTAGTAAATGCAGATTTCTAATAAGAATATGTATGTATATATATATATATATATATCTATATCTATCTATATATATATATATATATATATATATATATATATATATATATATATATATATATATATATATATATATATATCTATATCTATCTATCTATATATATATATATATATATATATATATATACATATATATATATATATATATATATATATATATATATATTTATATATATACATATATATATATATATATATATATATATATATATATATATATATACATATATATATATATATATATATTTATATATATATATATATATATATATATATATATATATATATATATATATATATATATATATATATATATATATATATATATATATATATATATATATATATATATATATATATATATATATATATGTATATATATATAAACATACACACCAATTAAAACTTTCTGTTTGCAAACGATTATACTTCAACTGCTAATAAAATTTAAAAGGAAATAATAAAGACTTACAATTTTTATGTCTTGTAAATTGAGCTTGTTTGTGTGCATAAAATATATATATATATATTTTTTCTAGACATAACTGAATGGAACCAAAACATTATACCTGCTTGTCCCTGCAATGTAGTTGCTGCAAGAAACAGCCCAATGTGGGTCCCTAGCAGTCAAGCACTGCCTGAGGGCAATTGTTTTGATCTTTTACCATTCTATGGGGAGTTGGGAAAGGTACACTTTTTTGACAGTTTAACTATTGTATTTTGCAAACAGGGGTTTTGTATTTGTTTATTCACTCATTTTATTAACTGTTTTTCATGTTACTATATTATTTTCTTTCTATAAAGACAATTATATTTTTTTTAAAAGTAGGACCTATCTTTTTTACATTTTGTGTCAAAATAGTTAAGTGTTTAACAAGTAAATAATAATGCAAAATCATTAATATTCATTGATTTATGGTAAAACAAATGTATTATCTATCAAGTTAATATTGATTAGATGTAAATGTACATTTTTTAAAACCATTTTTGTATGCTAGGAATGTATTTTTATTCCACAATAAAAATATAAATGTATGCAATAGAATGTAACATTTTCTTCATTAGAATATAACCTTAAAAGTTTTAAATAATGCTGGAGTACACCTTGCATTAATCAATCACATACTTCTATATGTTAGCGATGCTGCTACAGTATGGATGAAGGCTCAGGTTTTTTAAATACAATACCACAAGCTGGAAGTCTCCAAAGATACAATTCATTCCTGTTTGAAGAACATATTAAAGCTGATGAAGATCCCAAAGACTGGTGTTGTACTAAATCAAAACTTTGTGAACTGTACTATACTTTAAGACCTGCATCTGCCTGCAATGGAAGTAACTGGGCTAGAGGTACAATATTTCTATAGTTAGAAAAATATTTTAGAAGCAAGTTCGTAAATTAAGCTACACATCAGATTTTTAAGTACCTGTTAATTCAATACACAAACACAATTGTTAGTTTTATAGATACCTGCAGCAAAGCCTTTTTTAAAGGTTACATTAATGGTTGTTTCTTCTGTTAGTTTTCTCCGAGTTTTAAAATGTTTTAATTAGAATATGCAATAATTATTGTGCCAATGGTCTAAAAATCAGTGTTAAAAAATGTATGTCATTTTCATGTTCATACATTCAATTCTGCAGATTAAATTATTTATAATATTTGAAAATCAAAAATATATTATGTATTTAAATTATTAAGTTAAAAAAAACATTATATAGCAGATGATATATATTTGAATTTTTTTTTGTAGGTTTCTTGTTTGGTGACCCTCATATTGTCACATTAGATCAAAGGTCATTTATTTTTAATGGTCTTGGGGAATATGATTTAGTAAAGATTGTTGGAAATGGCAAAAATAATGCAAACCCAGTTTTCATAATGCAGGTACTGCTATTTTATGTTTTCATTATCATAATTTAGAAACAAAAATAAATTTTTGTTTAGCAGCTTTAAGTCAACTGAAATAATTTCTGTTTACTGGTTTCGTAGACTAACTATTTAGATCAGCTATTAAATGCATTTGACCTATTTAAATACTTTATTTTTTTTAGATACTCTACCTCAAAATACATAATTATCAATGGAAATAATTCATATTTAAAAAAGTATAATTTGGAAAATGTTTTTCAGTTTTATTTTGTTTATGTCATAATTTTTAAGTGTGAATTTCTAAAGTTAAAATTTGCTCATGTCCGTCTAGATAACTTTATATTATATTTCTACTAATAAATTTTATACTATTATAAGGGAAGAACATGCAGAGCATTAAACAACAAAGGAGTTGAAACATCAGCCACAATTTGGTGTGCATTATCAATGAGAACTGGAAATGGAAAATCTTTAAGAATTGAGATCAGCCTTTCTAGAAAATGTATTTATTATCAATTAATATATGAGATTTTATTAAATATTCATAACTCCTGAAATGTATTATACATACACTTTTATAGCTTATTGCAAATTGTACAGAAGCAATATTAATATATTTAGCATTGGCATGATTAACTTTAAAATTCTACATCATATTTTTTGGACAGTGATGATAATTTATGTCAACAAACGAGATTATACCAAGGAGTTTTCAAATAACCAAAAGTTTTTTGTAAATGAAAACGGAATTATAATCAGAAAACAAAATGAATCTATAATTGCCTCTCTACCTGAAAGTAAGTTTGGTTTTTTTTTTAACTTGTAAGCTTAAAATGTAAAATGTAAGGTTAAAAATTCATGTTTCATATTATTACTTTTATCAATTGAATTAAGTACTTCTTGTAATTATATCAAAAGTTGATGAATATAAAAGAGACATTGTATGAAAAGATATTTGCAAATATTTAAAGACATCATAAATTGAATCTGAATTACCATTTGGATTTAAAATTAAGCATTAATACTTTAGAAATAATATATTTTAAGCTTCTGAAATTGGTTTTTCTAAATATTTTTTAGGTATTGGTATCACTGTGACTCTGGTCAATGAATTACTGGAATTTTCCCTAACCTTGGACAAAAAATATCAAAACATGACCACGGGTCTTTTAGGCAACTTTAATGGAGACAAAACTGATGATTTTATTTTTCCGAATGGTACGAGACTGTCTGATGACTCAAGTGAAAAACAGCTTTATGAATATGGAAAGTCATGTAAGTTTTTAATTTTACTTATGTTCTTTCCAGATAATTTAGAAGCCTATTATTAATGTGCTAAAATTGTCTATATTCATATCAAAGATAATTCAATTTTATATTGTAAAAATGTCTAAAAAAATTGATTGGTGTTAAATATTTAAAGGCTATCTTATAATTTGACATCTTTTATATATTTCAACTTTTAAAAAATGTTTCAGGGGCCATAAATCATAATGAGAGCTTATTCCAGTATGGCTATGGACAAAACACAATCACATTTTCAAACTCAAGCTTCCAACCTATATTTTATGATGAACAAAATGCAACCACAAAAGAAGAAGCTGAAAAGTTTTGTAATGGTTCAGGAAATCTTCCTTGTATTTTTGACTATATTGCTACAAAAAATGAAAAAATAGCAGAATCCTCATTAAAATCATCAGATACTTTTGAGAGGGTTTCTATTAGTGCAGGTAATTATTAAGATATGTTATTTTTCAAACATTTATCAAATTAATAAAGAATAAATAACACATTTTCTTTTAACCTGTAAATCTATGGTTAAGATTAAATGATTGATTTGATTGAAACAATTAATAAAAATGAATATTTTTGCTGATTTACTGGTGGTTATAATACTTAATTGAAAACAAAAACCATTTGAAATGAAACAACAAAAAATATAAATAAGCCGTATCAAACATTGTCTTTGAAATATTTAATAATTACATATTTTTTTTGCAAAAATAGTAATGTTATGTAGGCTAAAATAAAAAAAAAAACGACCTGGTGATGAATTTTAAGTGATGGAATATTCAGCACAAAATTCACACTGATATTTTTATTGAGTGGAATAGTAGTGATTATATAGTAGATGTTACTAAATTGTATGAAAAATCAAGTGAGTCATAGAAACAATCAAGATTAAAAATATTTCATAGGCCTTCAACTCATGTCATGCTTTATACAAAAACGGTGTGCTGACAATCATATTATTATGCTTGATTAAAAGCTTAGCCTATTTATTTTAATATTAAACTAAATACATTGAATGTTTTCATAAAACAAAACAATACATGAGCAAATAAATATCCTTACTATCCTTGTGTATGGTAGCAAATGCTGAAAAGTAACAACCACTACCAAGAGATCACTGAATTCTTTCTAAACTGTCTCCAATGAAATAGTACTAGGGAAAATGGAAAAATAAGATGTTTACAAAATAATTGGAAAAAAAAGATGGTGCTGGATGGGTCATGATTTAACAATAAGTTCAGCATAGGAATGGAGCCTAACTGGATACATCAAGGAAAAATGGAAACACGTTAGGTGAAGGAAAACACAGCAGAAAAGTAAAGGCAGGACTATCTTAGGGACTGAAATGAACAGTGCAATGGACCAGCAAAAGTGGAACAAGCTTTCTATGGTGTGTCTCGGCACAAAAAGAAAAAAAGTTGACGATGAGACATAGCAAAATCATGAAACCTAGTTTATGAATACTATATATTTTTAAAAATTTAAAACATGACTAAAAATTATATGTTAGCATTTTGTGCTTACTGTTTTTTAATACTTTTACCTTGTATCCTCAGCTAATCAAGCACCAATTTTAGTAATGAATACAAACAGAATCAGAGTTTTTCTCAACCAAACATTCACCTTGACTTTGAGAGCATTTGATCCTGATGGACAAAATGTGACTTTTGTTTTAATGACCAATGCTGCATATCAGTTCGTTGAGAGAAATCGTAGAAGAAGAGCACAAACACAACTTACTGAAGCAAAAATTAGTGTTACAATTACGAACACTGAATCAACATTTATAACGTTAGTGATATATTTTTCTTTTTGTTGTTGGTTATAGTAAACTGATAAAATGCATAATGATCTATTTAATTGTTATATGTATATATTTATTATATAGAAATATTGCAAACTTGTATAATGTGTTTTTAAAATACCATTTATCATCAAATCATTTAAGAGGAAATCACTTATACTGAATTCACAAAATGATGAAAAAACGTAATGAAAGACATAACATTCTTGATACTCCATATTTTTCCAAATCACCTATCTCAAAAAGATATCTACCCAGAATTAATATATGAATGAGAATGTGTTTGGAGATATATATCTCAATTTGCTTAGTCTCTCTCTCTCTCTCTCTCTCTCTCTCTCTCTCTCTCTCTCTCTCTCTCTCTCTCTCTCTCTCTCTCTGCATATATATATATATATACATATATATACATATATATATACATATATATATATATATATATAAATATATATATATATATATATATATATATATATATATATATATATATATATATATATATATATATATATATATATATATATATATACATATATATACTTATATATGCATATATAAATATTTGTGTGTCCGTGTCCATAATCTGGTTAAATTTGTCTACCTTTTCATGCAAAAATAGAGCATCAGCAAAAGATCCAAATTCACTCTACTCTTCCACTGAAGCTGTGAATATGTCTGTATGTAGCAGCTGCAGCAACCATGGATCTTGTGATGAAACACTGCTTATTGCCACACAAAACCCTTATTATTTCTTGGAGACCTGCATATGTAAAATTGGATATGCAGGTATGGTTTATTTGGCAATACTACAAACATCATGTAAGACAATTTTTTTTCAAATAAATAAGGCATACTCCTGCCAACCCAAAAGTCTTTAGTTTGGATTCCTGGCTTGTCCTTACAAGATTTCTTTCCACCCATCTCTGAAGGGTACCAGACTCACATTTCGGAAAGTAAAGACCAAATTATCTCTTCATATGCTGAGGTCACTGAAACATGAACTCAACCATACCACAAAGTTTGAAAGGGTTCTCTACATTTTTATAATGAACCTCACTAATTTGTTTTTGTTTCACTAGTTTTCTTCAGATCCTGGTCAAAGTTTACAAACAGAACCCCAATAATTAAAAGTATTAAGGGAATATTAAAAATATTTGTCTTGAATGATGTAATTGAAGGTACAGATTGTGAAACAGACAATGATGGCTGTGCTAACAACCCTTGCCCCAGCTTGACAGGTTGTGTAGACATACCAGCTTCAGAAGAACAAGTCACTGGTTTATCATACACATGTACAAATTGTCCTGATGGATATAAACTTAATTTAAATAAAACCAAGTGTGAAGGTTGGTTTGCTTTGAATACAATTTATGAACTTTAAAAATTGAATATGAATTTATTAAATGTATTTATATGATATATCAAAATATATGTTATCTTATCGTTTAATTACTTATTTTCCTGTAAAAGATGTTGATGAGTGTAAAACAAAGCCATGTGGTACAAACGCTCTATGTGAGAATACATATGGTAGCTTTATTTGCAACTGCCCTGAAGGTTTTAGAAAGTCAGGAAAGCTGAATTGTAATGGTAAATATGTTTTAGCAATTTTCTGATAAAATTATTCCAAAAATTGATTTATTTGGCCTAATATAAATATTACAATATTAAATTTACAGTTTTGAACATTAACTTTTACATTTCTCATCAGATATAAATGAATGTTCAGAAAAATTAGATAATTGTGATCAAATCTGCAGTAACAATGTTGGAAGTTTTGATTGTGGTTGTTTTAATGGGTTTTCTAGAAGAAATGGAAAATGTGAACAAACTGTAACAGGTCATTTTTTTTTAATCATAATAAAGTTTATTTATTTGTGAAAAAAATTTTGTGATATTATTATATACATAAAATAAAGTTATAAATTGAATAGGGCAGTGTTATATTTTGAATATTGAATGCAAACTGCTTTTTTAAAATATTTCAGATCCTTGCAAACTTGTAAATAAAACCTGTGAATACATGTGTCGCAATGGATCTAATGGAGCTGAGTGCTTTTGTAAATCTGGATACAAATTAAATGCAAATGGCACATGTGAAGGTATTGTTATCAACTTTAGAGCATGAAAATATTTACACATAATCTAAATTTCCAAATTAACATTTACTAAATGCTAATTTTAATAGACTAATTATAATTGATACAAATGGACATTTCATGTTATAAATTTAACATTTTTCTAGTTTAATGAGTATTATTATAGAAAATAACTTGGTATATTCAGTTTTATGTATATTTTACTAATTTGTCAACAGACATAGATGAATGCAAAGATAAAATCTGCTCACAATTATGTTTCAACACAAATGGAAGCTTCATATGTTCATGTTTCAATGGATACACCCTCAACAAAAATGATCTTCGTTCTTGTGATGGTATGTGATTGCTGTACTTAGTTTTACGTTATTTAAAAGTATTTCTGAAGGAGCATGCTTTTTAGCATACACTTTTTTAAATTTACATAACTCTTAACTATAAAAGGTAACTTTAGTCTTTAAAATTTATATTCCCAGCATGTCAAGGCAATGCCTATGGTTATAACTGCAACTCCAGATGCCAGTGTAAAGGGCGAGCTGTGAGATGTGACAATGTTAAAGGCTGTATCTGTCGAAGCAATTGGAAAGGAGAAACATGTGAAATAGATGTGGATGAATGTGCTTTAAAACCTGGTGTCTGTCCTGTGGATCATAAATGTACTAATACAGAAGGCTCTTATACTTGTGATTGTCCTGTGGGTTTTGAAGATATCAATGGAACATGCTTTAGTACGTATAATTTTTTGTTCTAATATTTTGATATTCTATTTAAATATTTAAATATTGAATTTCCAATAAACTGCTTAAAACATAGAGTCAAATGACTTTCATGTATATTTAAATCAGAAGGAAAATAGAATGTTGTATACTTTTCTACCATGCTACCCAGTGTGTCTTCCAGACCTTTTGCTCGGGGGTGGGGGGGGGGGGGGGGGGCGGGGGTGTGTGTGGGGGGACATTGTTAAAAGTATATATTTTCTATATCAATTCCATTTTGTTTGGGGGGATGGTAGACTTACTTCAGGGCTGTGCACCCCCCCCCAAAGAGATACCTGTAAGAAACACTGATGCTAATTACGCTACAGTTATAATTTTATATGCTGTTTTATTCTACTTTCAAAGTACCTTTATTCTTTAAGCAATTAAATGAAATAAAATTAAATGAAGCATACATTGAGGTCATCCATAAATGACGTCATGCTTTTTTTGAAGATTTTTACCCCCCTCCCCTCTATCACACATCATCACAAAAAGCCAGATACCCCCCCTAAAATGGCATCACAACTCATCTTACAACCCCCTCAAAATAGCTGTTGAATTTTTCTTAAAACATCGATATTTTACCAAAACCTTGTGAGATCTCTGTCAACATAGAGTATTTTGATCAATTCCTATCACAATTTATTAAACTGTTTTCTAAAATGCAAAATAGCGGCTAAAACTCTTTTTCTAACATTGCTTTTTTATAATGCAGAAAAGTGACATCACACCATCTGAACCACCCCTCCCCCTCATCACACACTGTCACAAAATTACAGACCCCCTCCCCCTGCGAGTGTGACATCATTTATGGACGACCCCATTAAAATAAAATACATTTTAAACTGTGCAATGTGTGTCTCAATTAAGCTTATCTTTCGCTACTCTTCAATTGCATTACATAATCTATGCTAATGAATTTGTACATCATTTGTACTGAAAACAAAACTTTTAAACTTGACACTTGGTTTGGTATATTTTATTAATATGCTTGTTTATAGCACTTGCTGTTTTAAAAATAGTTGATTAAAACTATTAAATGGCTTACATTTTTACTGGATATTAATGAATATAAATAAAGAAACACCTGCTTCAGTATTTGTTGATCAAAAACATAAAAAGACTTACTTTTTAACCAACCAGATATTAACGAGTGCGAAACAAGAAACATTTGTCCTCAAACATGCATTGATACACCAGGGTCATTTATTTGTGAGTGTAGAGGTGGATTTTTAAAGCTTCCTAATGGCACTTGTAAAGGTAACTTCAAGTCTTTATGCATTGTTTCTCTAGTATGTTAACCTGATTTGGAATTAATAAATCATTTTAATTAAATTAATATTTAACTAACAAGAACAGTTTTCTTCCCACCAAACAGATATTGATGAATGTGAGATTGACAAATCTGGCTGTCAACAAATATGTATCAATGTCCCAGGAAGTAGCAACTGTGATTGTTATCCAGGCTACAGGTTAAAAGATGACAGGAAGACTTGTGAAAAAGATAGTATGTTACTGCATTCATTTCCTTTAAAATTATGTTCACGATTATAATACCAAATAATACCAATTTCATATAGCTGCTGCAGCCAACCATAACTTAAGTGAATTTTTATGTTTCAAATTTATACTGCCTTCAATAATAAAATATATGTGAAAATAGTTTTAAAATATCTCAAAGGGAATTTATTACTATAAGCTTTAACATTGTGTACTATTTAATTGATATTGTAGAAGTTGATCCATGTGAAAACTTTTACCTGAACTGTAGTCAAGGATGTACTGTAGCTAATGAAAAAGCACAGTGTTTTTGTGCAATAGGTTACAATTACACGCTGAGTAATAACGTGCTTGATTGTCAGGGTAAGCCATAGTGTCTTGTATATATATATATATATATATATATATATATATATATATATATATATATATATATATATATATATATATGTATTACAGCAGTTAATAAAATTACTCATTCTTTTACTCTTTATTAAAGTTGTATGTCTTCTGCTTTAGTAGTAAAAATCACATTAAAGAGCATCCAAGTAAATGTTTTTTATTTGTTTTGTTCTAATAAAGATATTGATGAATGCGCAACACTGAAACCATGCAATGGTAGCTGTGTTAACACTCCAGGGTCATATAATTGTTCTTGTCCAGTTGGATCTAAACTACAGAATGATAAGAAAACGTGTCAAGGTAATATATATATATATATATATATATATATATATATATATATATATATATATATATATATATATATATATATATATATATATATATATATATATATATATGTACATATATATATATATATGTACATATATATGTACATATATATATATATATATATATATATATATATATATATATATATATATATATATATATATATATATATATATATATATATATATATATATATATGTATATCTGTACATATTTGTAAAATTCGAAATTCTTATTATACATATTGCTAAACCATATTACCAAAACAGTTCTTCTTGAAAATTACATGTTTGTGTTAATTCTTTTCTAAAAATATTGTACTATTTTTATTAAACTTGCAATTTAAAAATTGAGATGCTTAAACTTATTTTTAGAATGTGATGCCTATCACTGGGGAGAGAACTGTGCCACAGAATGTAACTGCAGCCCAAGAGGTACATCAAGATGTGACCCCACACAAGGATGTCAGTGTAAAGCTGGCTGGGCAGGAACTTGGTGCCAGGATGATATTGATGAATGCTCAAGTCTTGTACCACCATGTCCTGAAACAAGTTGTGTCAACACATTTGGCTCTTTTTATTGTCAGTGTAAGCAGGGATATTCTTTTGAAAACAATACATGTAAAGGTATGTAATTTTTTTTTTATAATGACCATCTAAGTTTACTATTTGTAATGAAAAGTATTTAACTTATTTAGTTGTTTCTTTGAATATTATTTGTTTACAAATATGTTGTTTAAACAAATGATTCTATGTTGCTTTAATGTTAGACCTGGATGAATGTTTGAGTTCCCCATGTGACCAGATATGCACCAACACACAAGGCAGCTTCCAGTGCTCTTGTTATTCTCAAGGATTTGTTTACAATGGAACAAAATGCTATGGTAAAGAGTAAACTTAATTGGATTAGTTGCACTTTTTCTGTATGAGAATATATATATATCAATTTCTAAAGTTATTGAAATAAATTCAGACCTGGTAAACAAAGTTGGAATTTTTGATTAACACATATAAAAACTTTGATAAACTCAGGAAAAGTAATCATTTTTATAAAAATTTACACATTTAAAGCAGTCTAATATTAAATATTTTAAAAGCATTTTTATGCATTTTAAAAATATTAATAATTTCATAATTTATTTATTAATAATAGACAAAGATGAATGTGCCATAAAAGGGCTAAACAGCTGTGATCAGCTATGTCGTAACACAGAAGGAGGTTTTGCTTGTGAATGTATTGAGGGATATGAGCTAAATGTCACCACACGAAATACATGTTTTTGTATGTAAAAATTGTTGATTGAAGACAATTGATACTTGATAAACATTAAGCTTTAGCTAGTTTAAATAAGATCTAAAAGATTTTTTTAAATCGTAAGTTCCTTTTTCATTAAATACCAGTTAAAATATACAAGTTTAAACTTTCTATGCAAGTTTTCAGAATTTAAATATATTTTAAAAATATGTGAAATAAACTATTTCAGTGAGCAACATCAGTCAAGTTTGTCCCACAGAAAGCAAATGTAACCAATTGTGTGTTCTAATGAATAAATCACAAATCTGCTCTTGTTATTTAGGATATAAACTGATAAACGACATATGTGTTGGTAAGTTTTTAAAAAAAATATTTAAGACATTTTATGAGCATATTATTTTAATATATAAAATTAGATAATTCCATTACTATAGCAATAATTTATTGTGTTATTTTGTTTTTCAGATATCAATGAATGTGATTACAATCCTTGTGTCAATGGCTTCTGTAGTAACAGTAATGGGACATTCTCATGTTCATGCAGCAATGGTATGAAGCTGCTGGATGATAAAACTTCATGTACAGGTGTGTTGTTAAATTTTGCTTTTATTTAATAAAAACCACTATATTTTATCTGAAAGTTAGAAAACATGCTATAACCCGAGAACTAGTGCTGTTTAAATAACAATTCCAAATGATAAATTTAAGCTCATGTAATAATGGATAACACTCATTGATTCATTAAATTTAAATATTTTAAATGTAGATTGTATATTGGCAAAGCAAGCACAAGTAAAAATACTTTTAAAACTCAAGATAGTTACTGTATCCTCATCCTTTATATATATATACATTAGTCTCATCCTAAATCTTAAGCTAAATCTGCTCTAAATATTATACTGCTAAAATTGTAAACTGTTTACTAATTAAAAGACAATTTACTAATAAAATAAACTAGCTGATTATAAGTAAATATATTCTTACTATTATATTCTATTACAAATAAACATATTATATAAAAAAGAAATTCTATAGATTTATCTGATACTTTTGTAATCACAAAGCTTGTCAACATGGATATTATGGCTATGACTGTGCTGAATACTGTTCCTGTAACACAACCAACACCACACCTCAAATCTGCTCTGCTGAGAATGGAACCTGTGATTGTTTAACTGGTTGGACTGGTGCTGATTGCAGCACTGATATTAATGAATGCAACCAGACTAAGAATCTATGTCTAGATAATGCAGACTGCATTAACTCCCCTGGCTCTTACAGATGTGTTTGTAATATAGGGTTTTACAGATCCAATGGTGGCTGTATTTGTAAGTTTATTTTGGAAAAAACAATTTTATATGACATGAATGATTTTGACAAAATTAATCTTTTATAATTTAAGATTATTTGTTCTTTTAATGAAAAGCAATTTATTAAAACATGCGTTACACTTTATATAAAAATAATGTATTCTAAAGCTACTCTTGAAAAGTAAAAAAAAAAAAAATTAAATAATTCTCCCATAATGAAAATAATAAAAAATAGATAGAAGTAGGCCTATATGAAAAGGATAGTAATTGAAACAATATAATATTTAATTTGCAGCCATCTTTATGTACCAGTTATTAGAAATTAGGCTTAATATTAGAATTTATAAAATTAGAATTATGTGAATAAGTGTCTTTTAAAAAAATGATTCTCATCTAGAAATAGGTTATACATTCTAAACATGTATTTATAGCCTGTGATGCGAACCTCTATGGCCAGGACTGTAAGAAGACTTGTACATGTGTAAAAGACAACAGCAATGACTGCAATGCTGTCAATGGAACTTGCACATGTAAACCAGGTTGGACTGGCTCTAACTGTGAAACATATACAGACGAGTGTTTGAACACCAGCTACTGCCCAGATATACATGAGAGCTGTATTAATTTGAATGGATCTGCAGAGTGTAGATGTGATCCAGGGTATAAGAGAATTGATGGGTCCAACTGCCAAGGTAAGTAGGCTAGTTATTTTACATGCATCATTATCGAAATCACTATTTTCTATCAATTTACATAAAATGAATGTAAGGAGAAAGAAATGAAAATTAAGAACAAAGAAGAGCAAGTATAGTTTGCATAAAATACAATCTGTTACATTAAATCTGCTACAGTTAATTTTAGCACATTGTTTAGAAAAAATAAAGTTATCTTTCAGACAATTAAAAAATTAGGTTAAATTAATCTGTTTGGTTGCCGTGCTTGCTTTCAAGGTCTAGTAAATTCTATGTTAAATTCTTACATTTTTAAATTTTTAACATTTAATAATGGCTTGGTTCCTAGTAAGTTAAATTTGAAAAAAATATTGTCCCATAAAATAAATAAATTCTTGAATAAATTCAGTATAATCAATTGCTAAACCAAAAAGTCTCGAGTTCGAACCCTCTGGCAGATGAGGCTTGTTATCTGGGGACAGCCACTCGTCTAGGAGAGACAACTCCAAAATCAAACAACTGCTGCCTTGTAGTTTTATCTTGGTTGGACAAAGGCCATTGAAGCAAATCCAAAAAGAAAAGCAGGCTGAAATCGGAGTCAATGGCCTCAATGGCGCATAACCAGTTGACACGTATCCTTAATTGTGATGGAAGCATGGTCAAGTCGGCAAAGCTCATGGTTGATAAATTTGAAAAAAAAAGTCTCGAGTTCAAACCCTCTGGCAGATAAGGCACGATCCCTCCCAACACTAAAAATTAAGAACGAAGAAGAAGAAGAAAGAAGTATAATCCAGTTATATTAGCATGCATATATATACAATACTAAAGTACCCATTTCAGTAAATGGGGCATATTAAGTAGAGTTCACATGTTTCAGTGACCTCGGCTCAATGTCTTTACTTTACCAAATGTGAATCATTTACCCATCAGTGTTGGTTGGAATTGGGGACGTATCATGGATGTTGAAACTTTTTTATTTTAGCTATAATGTAGCCACACTAAAGCAATTATCTATTTTTTATAATTAGATAATTAAAACATCAATCTTTAATCCTTAACCAAAACACTATAAGATATAAATGTTGTTTTTATATATAGGCCTATAGGCTAAATATTTCTAAATGTATAAAACACTAAATATTACCTATACATATTATAATGTGTAAGCTGATATTGTCTTTTATTTCAGATAATTCAAGAAGTTATTCCTTACAAATCAAACTGAATATGAAAGCTGATCCAAACATTTACATTTACAATACAAAGCAATTTATTTCACTCAAAAAAGAAGTTGAAGACAGTGTAAGTGTATTATCAAGTGTATTTATTAAAATTGTAAAAAAGAATGTTGTGGTACCTGACTCATGTCTAACTAGATCTGTCCACACTATTCCATTAATAATAATATTTTATTTATTACAAATGTCTTATTGAATGCTGAAATAAAACATTTATGCATGTTAAAGTTTGGCTTTAATAACCGTACTGACCAGCATATTATCAAAGCACTAAACTATAATAAAAGAACAAAAATACATTTACTGAAATGCATTATATTTTGTGTTATGGCTTTGTTAGACTATTAAAAAAATCAACTCACATTTAATAAAGAGATATACGTTTATTATTAATCTTTTCTTCTTTTCAGTTGAACAAATTAGGTTCAGATAAACTTGGGAAAGGAATGCTTCCTTTTGAGGTTACTAAATTTACGTAAGTAGCTTAGCTGTGTAATCTTCATTTTAGTTAATAAAATATAATATGATTTCTGATAAGCTCATTATCACAATGTCTACCTTATTGATCATAATTCATGTATTTTTATATTTTAACATGATGTTTTTACAGTGAAGGTTCAGTAATTGTCCACACAGCCATTGTGGTAGATTTAGCATACACAAACAACCCAGATGTTTTTGCATACAAGTTTACTGAAAACCTGCTAAAAAGCCCAAATCTTACCATTGGTTCAAATGTTGTAGAAGTAATGGATGTCCTTGTTCAAAATAGATCAAGTAAGTTTAAAATCCCTTGCAGCAAATAACAATTGCTATGTTATTGTGTGAAAAAAAATGATAGGGGTGACAATATTCTCAAATTGTTATTCAAAACAATAAATGCTGAGCTTAGCTTTGGGTTAAATTTTGGGTTAAATAATTTAAAAAATCTGTATTATTTTTTTGTGAAAATATATAACCATTTGTTTTTATGTAAACTTAGAAGATAATTAAAAAAAACATACCTTACATCTGATAGTAAAATATGCTTACACTGTTTCTACCCCAGAATAATACAATAATACTAATCAGGAAACACATTTTCAGTTCCAGGAAACCTTTGTGATTTGTTTACAAATTTGAAAGCCTCTTGTTCACCTAATGAAAATTGTGGAGATAATAACCAGACTATATCTGCATGCATACCACAGTCTGCAGGTAATGTTGAACAATTCAAATAGACAACTGATAACTTAGAATAAAGGCTTAACAGTCAAATTGTGTATAATTTGATTTGCTTTTGTTTCAGAAGGAAATACAAATCTGATTATAGGTCTTTCTGTGGGCATTGGACTTTTCATACTGATTGCAGTGACAATAGTGATAATTTTATTATGTCACTACAAGAGGGTATCAATACCTAGAGACACTTTAAGTAGGGATTTTGACCAGTAAGTTATAGTATTTATTAAATGTTGTATTCTTGAAAGATATTATAAGCAGAAAATATAAATTTTTTTGCTTCTTATAATACATAAAGAAAATTCTTTTCTATTTCATGCAATAAATTGAATATATTTATTAAGTGATTTCAAAATAGTAAATTTAATAAATAAGCAACAATGGTAATCTGTCTAAAAATGTTTTCTAAAATTTACTACTTTTAAATGAGCTTTAAACAGATAAACCCATGTTTAATTTTTTTTTATAATTGTTACGATTGTTATTTGATAAGATATATATTATTTGATTGTTATTTTGATAAAATATATATCTAATTTAAGAAAATTGTAAAGGGAATAGGTGCAATATAATCCATAAAAGTAATGACATTGAACATATTTAAATGCCTGTTACTAAAAAGCAAAATTAAAAAATCTATAGATTGATATTTTATCAAAATTCAATTAACAATCATAACAATTATAAAAAATAATAATTTTGTAGTAATTTGGCCTCAAGATGATTTTCTATTGTTCAATTAAAATAATTACCATTGTACTATTTTAGTGCTTCTGCAAGCATATTTGCTACACAATTTGCTACTAGAAAAAAAATGGAAATGAAAATACCTGGCATGCATGCAACCTCAGAGGAAATGGAATACAACAGATTTTTACATTTATCACAAGCTTCCGAGCTTGCTGAAGATTTTAATAGTGAAAATAATATGGAGCAAATGAACAGAGGTAAAATAGAATAAATATACTGTATTTAATGACAAGAACAAACAAAAGGTTAATTAATTACATTGTTTCGTTGATTGCAATAAATCCATGGTTCTGATGTTTGTAATCAGTTTCTATAAATATCAGCCAATTACTATAACAGTTCTATTGATATTGTGACAAATACAAACCATTACCAGTGTTTCTTCCAGACTTTTTTCTCTGGGGGGGGGGGGGGGCACTTGAAATTTTAGGGGGGGGGGGGGGGCGGTCTACAAATTTTGGGGGGGGGGGGGGGCGGCAGACACTAGTAAAAATGTATGTTTACTATATAAAATCCATCTCGTTCATGTGGGGCGGGGGGGGGGGGGGGCTCTCCCTGGAAGAAACTCTGACCATGACTTTGCATTAAATAACTATTGATAAGAATTGTAGTAAAGAAGTTCAACTATGCACAGTGTCCCACCTTTGCCCAAATCTAACATTGATGTGTAGTTTCACAGAAAAGCAGAAAAGTAATACAAATCTAATTTTAAAAGAGTATTTTCTCAATACATTTTAATACTTAAAAAGCCAATAATTAAAACAATATGAAAATGAGACATTATTATACACATGGGAATACATGGCACTAATGTCATATGTTGTCAATTACTTTTTTTATTAATGTAATTGATTATATTATTTTTTATTTTCTCAGATTCCAATGCAAAAGAGGCTTCAAACTTCTCTTGGACAAAAATTATTCCTTTATTAGAGAGCAACACTGGGGTAAATATAAAAAAGATACACATTTAGAAATTACTTTATAGTGAAGAAAATAGCTATACAATTATTTCAATACAATTTAAACAAAAATGAATAGTATCGTTTGGGGTGAATAAGCTATTGTTATGTATATGATGTTTTTTCTGCATTTAGTTTGCATTGAAAAGACCTACTTTTGAAAAAGATCCCAATCGTGCATTTGCTGCAGTAAGTAATCGTTATCATTTAAAACAAGTACAATAATGATAGTGATGAAATTGAATATACAAAGGGTTTATATTGCTTCTTATTTAAATTTCAGATTGATTCTACTTCTGGAAAAAAAAATGAATAATCACCATCAACTATCCTTGTCATATTTAATTTTAACAAAAACTATATAATTTTAGATATATCTAAACATGTACCCTATTTATGTTTCTATGTTTTAAATGCAGTGTAATTTAAAATTCAATATTTTGATTTGCAATTTTCCATTGTACGTTTCATTTGTTAACTGGTTAATTTATTTTTGATACATTTATAGACAGCATAATATATTATGCAAATTATATTATAAATGTATTGTAACTAATATTTGTAAATAATGAATTGGTGTTTAAGTCCATTATATGGGAGCAAAATATGTTTATGAATATGTATGTAGTGAGTGGCTTACAGCCTACATCAAATAAATAAATAAAGATTACTTCACTAACTTTTTATCAGCAGTTTTGCAAAAAATAACTATTAAAATTTATTATTAATTACACAACGAATGTAGTAACTTAAAGATACGTTGTCTAGAGATATAATTGTTCTTAGATGTTTGCTTCGCTATATACTTTGCCTATGAAATATTTTGTCCCTGACATATTAAATATTAAAGTATTTTGTTGTGCATCCAACACAACTCATCTATATTTTATGACCATAAACACTAAGAAAAACAAGGAATATTGTTTTCTAAAAAAAGATTTTTCAATAGAAAATGAGCAAAAGTACCACACAAAAATGGGCTATAATAAAAAAAAATTGTCACTTAACTTAAGATAAATGACACATCAACTATGAAATTATGTAGCGTCCAATTTACAATAATCCTTCAATACTCCTAGCTAAACTAAAATCAAACAGTTGCCTCTTCTTAGACCAGGATGACAATAAGCTCTTTGTTTGACAGGCTAAGATTAATCTGATGGCTTACATATAAATCCTTTCAATGCACTTCATGTTATCGAACTGGCAAAGAACAACACTAGTGTGAGGTATAAAATAGAAATATATAGGCCTATATATATATATATATATATATATATGGCAATATATATATATATATATATATATATATATATATATATATATATATATATATATATATATATATATATATATATATATATGGCAATATATATATATATATATATATATATATATATATATATATATATATATATATATATATATATATATATATATATATATATATATATATAAGCAAGTCCCGTTAAAATTAGGTGGCATTTTTTCGTGTTCACTAGAACTTGAGTACTGTTTCAGTTAGGTAGACAAAGTTTCATGTATGAGCATAAATATAAAATCTTATACAGATTTCTTTTCATCTTTTTAGTGACTTCCGATATCTAGATATGGTACAGTATTTTCATTTCAAAAGTAGCAATAACCTAAGTCTTAAGACAATAATAAATAAACCGGGAGTGATCTCCCCTAAACTTTCTGGAATATTCTTATACGAGCCGACCCGCGGCGTATCATACTGAAATAGTACTCAAGTTGTTTTTATTTTCTACTTTTCAGTAATTCATAATCTGTGAATTCGACAGTACCAACTGCCACTGAAAATATTTGCTTTAAACACTATCAGTAGGTTGTTAAGGACGATACTACTCCACCCTCCTTTCCCCCAACCCCTACCCTACACCCCCCCCCCCCCGTGAAAGCAGCCTCCTCTTAGTTCAAACTAAATTATCTGCCCCTAATAGCCGTCACCCGGCTCTACGATTGTAAACATTTAGCGTGAACCACAGCTCACCAGACCATGTGGGTGTGGGGGAGGTAGGGATATGCCTAGAGAGGAAGAGAGGGGGCTGCTAGGCGCGCTTACAGCTTGGTGTTTTCTAGGGTATCTTATATGCCAATTAAAAATTATTTTTAGTCAATAAATATGAAACAAAAGAACACAATTGTATTGTAACTTATTGTACATAAAACCACGCAAATGCTAGCCAGAGCAAACTGTTTGGTAAGGTTTAAGCCTTACTTATGTACTACATGCATATTTTAGAATAGTCTCTAAAATAAAAATATAGCTATTTCTATAAAATATTGAAATTTCATCTGTGTTTACAGTGCATTCAAAATCGTCTGTTTAAAGTAGCAGATCTTTAATGACTTGTATGTTATAAAACAGTTCTTACCTAGTTCTTCTTAGGCCGAGAATACATATAGTCAAGATTATAACCATGCAGACTATATTAAAAAATGGCAGATGGTTACTAAAGAATTTAAAACGTTTTTTTTTTTTTTAAATTAGTATTTATATTTTAAAAAATCTAATTGCTATGGTAAACTAATCAAAGTTTTAAATATACATTCTGTGAACAAGAATTCAAAACAAAGACGATATATATATATACCATAATCATAATATACCGTTTATAAATAGAAATGCTACCTCACAGAAACGTAAATAAACACCTCCATTACAACGTTACCAATAATGAAAACAAACACCACCAAAATGACACCAATAATAAACACAAACACTAAGTCTTAAATTCTCTCAACCGCAATGACACCAGGCAGCAGTTGTTTGATTTTGGAGTTGTCCCCAGCTAACAAGCCTCAACTGCCCGAGGGATCGAACTTGAGACTTTTCGGTTTAGCAACCATGAGCTTTACCGACTCGACCATGCCGACCCCTAATCCGGACACGAAATCGAGAATTTCGGGCATATTGGCTAAAGAAAAGTGGTATAACTCAGGCAAATTCAATCGGGAAAATATATATACACTTACTTTCCTTTGACCATAAAATCTTGTTTTGTGTTTATTATAATACGAGCCGTTATTGGCTCGGCTTTACTCCAACCATTTAAAGCATTGTCCAATGGTAAATGTTAACGCATGATTGTATGTTTGTATACAGTGGCGTAGCGAAGTCGGGTGTCACCCGGTGCGGCACTTAATGGTGTCACCCCCCAGAGGCGTAGCGACCATTCCCGGGGACAAACTTTCGATTTGCACCCCCCCCTTAACCTTTCGATTTGCACCCCCCCTTCAAACTTTTGATTTGTACCCCCCCCCCCCGTCAAACTTTCGATTTGCACCCCCCCCCCCCTCTTAAAAGACTATTTAACACTCGAATTAATCATTTAATTAAGTGGATTTATCATTTTTCTCTATATATTTTGCTATTTTTTGCCTTGGTGTCACCCCCCTAAATGGTGTCTCCCGGTGCGGTCCGCACCCCCCTGCCTCCCCCCCTCGCTACGCCTCTTTTTGTATACAAAAGGTTTCAAGAGAAATGAAAGGGCATTACATAATACTACGTTCAAAACAGCAACAGCTCGTGATTATAAAAATTAACCGACACAAATAAAATAAGCATCATAGTCGAACCATTGAAGAAAAAATCGCTTGCTTCTGTCTTTCCCTCTCCTGGTGAGCAATAACCCCATTCGATAAAATTAAAATATATACAAAAAAAATATCAGAATTGTATAATGTAAAAGTATACAGCTTTCACTCCGAAATAGAAAATATTGCAAATAGTACTATTAACCTAAAAAAAAAAAAACAACAATGAAAAAATATAAGAAAGTGTACCATAACGTTGTACACATAGGCCTACAGCATACTCTAAATATGCCTGTACGTATGTTAAAAATATGTACAGAATTTCCAATAATATCAAAACATAACTTAAAATAAGCAAATAACTAGAATTGAAGCCTACATTTTATCTGGAATTCATATTGTACATAGAAGGAGTGAGGCTTCTATAATAAACATTTTATAAAATTAAGTGAAATGCTTCTCCATATCATATAATTAAATATTTATAAAAAGTATTTTTTTCACTTACAAAAGGTATATAACTTGTAAAACTTTAAGACATCAATCAATACTATTGTTATTTCCCCTAGACAACACTTATCTTTTACAGTTTACACATAACGATTTCTATTTGTTTAGATTTTGTATTACTTAAGTGATGCCAATTATGGTTATATTTATGAATAAAATTACTGCACCGGGATATTACGATGAATTTAATTGTATTGATTGGGATTAAAGGATTGTTTCCCTCAATTAAATGTGCACGATTTTTATTTTGAAAAAGTGTAATTATTTCTTTAGTACGACACGAACGTGCAATAAATAAAATATGACATGCTGATTATATAATTAATTATATATTTTTAAAAAGCATACTTTAGTCCATATAATCACGTTAATTGGTCTATTATTGGTCTTGCATTGCAGCTTTTTCTCTTTTTAGAAACTGCTTGTTGTTTTCTTTAAAGATCATTGTAACATAAAGATAAGGTATGGGTTAGATTACCGTGTTGTTAACACACCTCTTTACTGGTAATTGCAAAATCAATATTCTTTCAATATTATCGGTTTCAAAAGCTACGATTCTGATTATAAAATATTCAACTATAGTTATTATTTATTTGAAGTTTGCTTATTATTATTTGGGATGCAGTTTTACTTTTATCCACAGTGTTTTTATATTGTTTTAACTTACTTTACCTCATGTTTTTAAGTATATATTCGTTAAGTACATCTGTTCGTGCCAGAGTTTCTTCCAGGCATCTCTTCGAAAAAAATCTACCCCCCCCCCCGACAAAAATGAAATTTATATAATTTATATAGAAAATATACACTTTAAACAGTGTCCGCCCCCCGAAGAAAGTCTACCCCCCCCCCCCCCGAAAATTTCAAGTGCTCCCAGAGAAAAAGTCTGGTTCGGGCTAATCATCTTGACTCATACTAACATTTTTGAAGTTTTGTGATCATGTGCTTATTTTTCTTTATATGTTTCCAGCTTCTTCCCCCACCCCTTTATACCCTTTATAGTTGCATAGAGTTTTTAATACAATCCATCTTAAAATATGTGCATCTATGATGCCTTTGGAAAATGTTTTAGATCTGCTGACATGTATGGGAGATGCACAGGCGCTAAAGTTGACAGACCTTGTGACAAAAAAGCGCATCGCACATGCCTGGCGCTAAGCAAGGCGCCGATAAGTAAGCCAAGAAGTAGGCTATTGGTCTACCTGCGGTGAGTTATTAAAAAATGTGATATTTAGGGTTCATAACACTTTTTTCAATTCGTAGTTTCAGTAATGTGTTTGCTGCTGTTTGTGTGTGTGTATTGTGCGTGTGTGTGTGTGTTGTGCGTGTGTGTGTGTGTGTGTGCGTGTGTGTTGCAAAACTTGTTTTACATTTTAAAAAATCAATCTTCGAAAAAGAAGATTTTCTTTAAAAATGGCCGAAGGGGGAGCGACCACTCTCCCTGCTGCCCCCCCCCCCCCTCCTCCACACCCCTTCGTACGCTACTGGTTGGTAGCCTCCAAAATATGAACACTTATTTTACCTCTGTGTTAAAGAAAATTCGAGGTGTGATTAAGTGAAATTGCAAGTTTTATAATTTGTTAAAAAACGATGTTAAGATAGGTATTCCATTTTCCGAGGTAATTGCAAGCAATTTTAAAGTTCCAAAGAAATAAAGGTGACATTAATATGACAAAAATGTAGTTACAGCACCCAACTTTTACAAACAACAATCATTATAATTCCACCAAAAAGTATACTAATAGTATAAATAAATACGATAGAAGTCTGAATTATTTTATTATTTATTTGAGAAAGTTTTAAAATACATTATTAGAAAAGCTAATTACAAAAAACAAAAATGTCACCAAATTTAAAAATAAGACGTATATGCGGTAAATAAATGTAAAACAAAATGTTTGTTTTTCATTATTTATTTTGTAGATAAAAACTACATATGAACTTTAACATTCCATATCTAATAAAACGGTTTTTTTGTTTGCAGGTAGAGCACACACAGCCAGCCAAAAAATATTGAGTTTGGATCTCAGGCACAAGTAGTTAGACCAATAAGTTCTGATGTGTAGCCGACTCAATGTACTGAAAGTGCTGACCACACTTTCCTTTAATATGATGAGTCAAAAAAATGGGAACTCTACTTTATCTGCTCCAAGGGCTGCCAGATTTAAAATGGTAAACTTATATAATTTTACTTTAATAGCTGGAAGTTAAATCAAATTGTCGAGAGAAGTATAAGATCGATGTCTTTAGTCTAAACTGCCTTAAGGATCATTATTATAAAAAAAGAATAAGAAAAGATACATCATTACTCACATAATAAAAAGTAATAGAAAGTGACACATAACACAGGATTTAATTTTAATAATGAAAATTACAAATTAAACCATAGTTTAATTATTCAATTGTGCAAGCAAAACTCTGATTCAAATAATATGTTGAAATGTTGAAATGTATAATAGTATGATAAGATACAAAGAAAATTTAAATAAATTAAAATTTAAAAGGACATTAAATGCTATTTTAAAAAAAAATCATAATAGCCTTGTTCATATTTAATTTTAAAAATGGGTATGCTGCTAATATAACATTAAAATATACAAAAATTGTTTAACAATCAAAAAAGTATTAATTACATTTTTATAAAATACAATAAATAAAATTTTGTTAGAACACATATCTGTTATTTTACAAATTATGTTTAGTTTGAGTCAAAAAATGCTAACCCTTGAATGAAAGACCTTTGGTAGTAATTTAGGTTAAAATATTTGAAGAAAGTTTTTTTTCTATAAAAATAACATGTTACATATCCATGCAATTTAGTAAGAACCATGCAAACATTCATATAACACTCTCAGCTTGCTGGTTTTAAATACACACATTTAGAAAAAACTCTAGCACTAGCATAATCAAATTCACAACTACACAACCACATAACACTCACTCTCACATGCAGATAAAGAGGAAAACGTCTCAACTAAGCACTGGCCACTGTACAGGCAATAAAAGGTAAATACAGTGTAGTAATGAAAAAAAACTCCATAAATAACTAATAAATAATTAAAAACTTCATCAAGAACTAGGAAAAAAGTTTTTAAAATTTCATGAGAATTACCCCAAAAAACAAGTAAATTTAATTAATGTTTTAAGCTTTTAAGAATAAGGTATTTATTTTTTATTTACAGACAAGCATCAAAAGCACAAAGAAGAGCTGGGGTATTAAATTATATCTAGACTAATTTATGAAAGGTGACATTTAACAAAGGGGGGGGGGAATGTACAATTACAATAATTACATTAAAAAGGTCTTGGAAGTTTATGAATACTTAATGTAAGAACTGTCCATATTAGATTTGAGCCAGAGATAAGTTAGCACAATAACAAATTTTAAATTACTTGTCAGTGCTTATATTCATGTAGTAACACTTGTAGTTCGGTAAAGTTATTTCCAAAAATGAGATGTATATTTACTTTAGTCCCTATAGATCTGATGCTACGTTACCTCACCAGAGACAGTTTTTCAGAGCACTGTTGTTTTTGTTTAATAAATCGAACTCCTAAAAACAGATGCATTATTTAAGAAGATAGTTCTAGTGTATTTCTAGACTGTATTTAAATCTACCAGATATGCATATGCACTCCACAGAGGATAAAATCTTAAATTTTATCAATTACTGCTAGAAGTTTAAAATATCTTATTAATTTGTCGTAAGAATTGTTCAAGGGAAACTATAAAAATACACAACATAGACATGTTTAACTTGTTGCTTCCCTTTGAATATTTTTTGTTCTCTCCCCTCCAATTAACTACACCTGCCACACACGAAGACAATGTTAGGAGAATCTTCACATACTACTCTACACATACACGCGGCTAGCTTATATTTAAATCTACACACTTTAATCTTTTTTTTTTCAGAGTCAAAAACCAAAGACTGCATACATACTTTAAATGAATACTTAACTTCAGTGGCGTAGGCAGGGGGTTGGTTAGGGGGGGGGGGTCATAACCCCCCCCCCCCCCCCCATAGACCCCTCGGTATATATAAAAAGTATGAGGGGGGGTGCAAATCGAAAGTTTGAGGGGGGTGCAAATCGAAAGTTTGAGGGGGTGGGGTGTAAATCGAAAGTTTGAGGGGGGGGGGGGGGGGTGCAAATCGAAAGTTTGAGGGGGGGGGGGTGCAAATCGAAAGTTTGTCTTCGGGTAAAAATTGGAACCCCCCCCTTGAGACGATCCTGGCTACGCCACTGCTTAACTTATATTTAATTTAACATATACCAAGTATTCGCAATAGCACAGATAATCAATAATAAGTTAATACAGTACGACAATAAATTGAAACACACTAAACTGGAGTAATAATTAAATAACCAAGAACCATATTACTGGAGAAAAAGTTAAATAAAGTTCAAATTACAAGTGAAAACAGGTTAAAACCACAACTAGGGTTTATTTTTTAAAATGTTGGCAGTAAACTATTCTGACTCAACATTCTCTGTACATGCAAGAACTGAAATACTAATTAAATCTAGATTCATTTTTAAAAGGTAATAATTTTAATCTAGAAAAAAAGGATATCTATTTAAAAAATAAACAGGTGGCAAGTTTATGAATATCTAATGTAAGGCAACTGTCCATATAGGGTCTGTGCCAGAGAGATGTTAGTACACAAACCATTTTTAAATTACTGGTCAACCGTGTGGTTTTATACTTATAGTCATCCATAGTCACAAATAAACAGATCTGTGCTGAATCCCTCTACTGAAGTTCCAAAAGTTGACAATGTCTATTTATGTTTGTATACGTAGATTTGAAACATTTTCACATCACAATATAGTCTGCTGACAGTTATATCACTTGAAAAGATATCTCTGATGTTTTTGTAGACTGTATTTTAACTTTCCAGCAATTGATGTCACTCTCTACAAGGCAGTGTCTTGATGTTTAATATTTACTGCAAAGAAATGATAAAAATGTATTTAAAATAATATTTTCAAGGGAAATAAAAAATGAAAACTCTATTTTTTAACCTTTTACTTGTAGCCCTCCCTTAGTAAATTGATTTTATTTTCTCTCCCCTCGACTATATGCCACAGCTGCTACACGAGAAGACAAAATCAGCATCATCTTTACAAAGCGCAAAGTATTTCACACCTACAGGCGACTAGGTTATACTTAGATCTACACACTTGAATGGTTTTTACTAAACCACGACTTCAGTGCCGATTACTTAATGTCTGTTGAGTTACTAATCTTAACTAGAGCGTACATATGTCTGCCCCAACAATCATTTCACTTAGTTTTTGCTCTAAGAAATATTCGGGCTTAATATACCATTATCACTGTAAATATATCGGATGAATGTTAGAAATTTATTAAAAAATTACCTACACGTATTTTACTACGAGGATTTATTTTTAGTTTACACGATACAGTTGAAAAATTATCATTTAACTGATCTAAAGTATTGAAAAAAAATTGAATCTTTATTAAATGATTTGGTCTGATCACTACTCACATGACTACATGACACAATCTACTTCAGATATAAAGGCACATGAAGTGGCCCCACAAGCAGAGTTTCTTCCAGGCATCTCTTCGGGGGGGGGGGGGGGCGAATTTTTTTTACCGCCCCCCCCCCCCCCCCCCGAACGAAATGAAATTTATATAATTTATATAGAAAATATATACTTTTAACAGTGTCCGCCCCCCCCCCCCCCCCCGGAGAAAAAAGTCTAGAAGAAACACTGCCCACAAGTAATATCTAATCTACACATAATAACTTACTACAACATGGTCTGGCATGTTAAGTTACTTCACATAATCTCCACGACAGTGTACATCAAAGGTTACACGTGAGGGAACACGAGGACAGCTAAACCAGACTTGTTGTTGCCTACAGCCAATCTTGTTCCTCTTATCAGCCTAGCGTCTCACAAGCCTCTACTTTTAGATACGAAGTTCGAAGCAGCCTAATGTAATAAAATAAACATAGAATGAGATTTAAATTGTACAATTTTTGAAAAAAAAACTTCCACGAATGCTTTATTTCATAGATAGTTAGATAGAAATATATTTCTGTTTTTTTTTTCTAAAGTAACTTACTATTAACAATAAATAGGCCTATATTTAACAAAAATAATTTTAAAACATATCATCATTTGAAAACGATAATGGTCGATTGAGAATCTACAGCCAACGTTGAATTGTATATTCTACTGGGTCATTACTTTGGGTATTTCAGCATGGCCGATGTACATCTTCACAAAAAAGCTGGTCGTAATGGGGTTGCAGATGTAACACAGCAACTTCAAAGCGATCAGCTCATTGTATTAGATGGTTGTTAACACAATGTAACCATGTCATTGTATCAGTTGGTTGTTTACACAATTTCACCTTGTCATTGTATCAGATGGTTGTTAACACAATGTAACACAATGTCACAAGGTCATCGTGTGGATGGGGGTCATAACAAAATGCCCATCCTATATACAGGTTCTGTGTAAACCAATCATATATGCAGATCCAGGGTATGCCCATTCTATATATAGGCACTGTGTATGTCCATCCTATATGTAGATCAAGTATATATATATATATATATATATATATATATATATATATATATATATATATATATATATATATATTATATAATTATAAATGCACTGTGTATGTGCATACTATATGCAGATCCAGTGTAAGCTCATCCTTTATATATAGGCAATACGTATGACCATCGTAATGCAGATCCACTGTAAGTCCATTCTATATGAAGGATCTGTGTACGTCTATTCTGCATGAAGGAGCTGTGTACGTCCATCCTATATGCAGGCTCTGTGTATACCCACCTTGTATATACTGCCCTGAAGTTAAACTGATCTTTGCATAGTTTAACATCCAGACCAGTAAACACACGATAGGCAGAGACGTTTTTTACTCGATGATTTCAATATTTAATTTAAAAAATGAAAAATGTCATATTCGTCTTATAATGAAAAAAAAATTATTAAAAAGTTATCAAAAGTCTAAAACATATTTTTACACAATACTGCTTATCCCATCCCAGTGGCGTAGCGAGGTCGGGTGGCACCCGGTGCGGCACTTAATGGTGTCACCCCCCCCCCCCCCAGAGGCATAGCGACCCTTTCCTGGGGCAAACTTTCAATTTTCGATTTGCACCCCCCCCCCTCAAACTTTCGATTTGCACCCTCTCTCAAACTTTCGATTTGCACCCCCCCCCCTTAAATTTTTCTCTATATACTCTGCTATTTTTTGCCTTGGTGTCACCCCCCCCCCCCTAAATGGTGTCACCCGGTGCGATCCGCGTCCCCCCCGTCCCCCCCCCTCCCCCCGTCCCCCGTCGCTACGCCTCTGTCCCATCCATTATTTGCTTTTCGTTTTGTTAAAGTAGTTACGTTATATAAACACGACAATGAATTACTACTAGTTTGTTTAAAGTCTTGTTTTCATCAGGGTGTGATTGGACGTGTCTGTGTTGCTCTGTCTAATGAGCAACACAATTTTACATGGAGCAACTTGAACTTTTATAACAAGATGCCACCATTAAAAATTGTGCAACACACTAGTTCCTCTCGTGTTCGACTCTCGAAGCAGCAAGTTCCTTTCTTGTAGAACACGTTAGTTTCTTATACCAGCAATGTTCCGTTCTTCAGGACCGGTTCGATTCTTATATAATTAGATTCATTCTTAAATAGTTTCAAAGTGTTTAGGCAAACACGACTTACCCCGTGTAGAGGCAAACAACACTTACCCCGTGTAGAGGCAAACAAGACTTACCCCGTGAAGGCTGTGGTCGTGTTGTAGAGCAGATGAACACCTACCCGATGTCTCTTGGTTTGGTTACCGCTGATGCCAGGATTTTGACTTAGATTCAGATGAAGCTTCTAACGTCACTTGGTCACAGTTCTCCAACCAGTTTACCTACAGCCAGTATTTTTCAGCGCTTGTGGGAAAAATGTAATTTAACCGTGTATGCTGTAGAAAGTAAAAAGACAATATATTATCACAAATTATATGCCAGATATTAACTAAGATATATCTTAAACGAATCTTTAATTTTAAACTAATCTTAACCTAATCTTAAACTAATCGAACCAACTGTGATATGGGGAGCGTGATCAGACAGTAAAGCTCACGAATTCTAACCCAAAAATCTTACACTTAGAGTCCACCTAGGTCAGGTGTGTACCTGACTCACGTAAGTGTAAGTAAAGGCCTCTGGATATAGCATATTATTGACCACACTATCCGTTGGTATGCCTTGTCAAAGTAAATAGATGAGCTCTACTTCATCTGTCATATTGATCGCCAAATCCCAAACTGGTAAAATTAATTTTACTTTAAAAACTGTGATTATATTCACACAATAATCTAATTTCTAAGCTGTAACTGTTATACAAATTATAAATAAAAGTTTAAAACGATACAGTTTTCCATGTAGATTTGTAGTTCTTTTGCTCATAAGACCTGCAAACTTAGTCTAACTCACGATTGAAACCTGATAAGTGAACGGCCAACCATATACACAACGTTCCAGTGGCAGAGCATGGTCATGTGACCGACTGAACGCGTAGGATCACGTGGTTATAGTGGGGAGACAATTCAAATGACTTGAGGTTTGACAGCTGGCGCCATCAGTTATCGATTTTTTTTGTCACTAGACTTTAATTAACTTTCTTCGAGTTAAAGACATGACATATTGTGTTCGATGATAGAGACATGACACACTGTGTTCGATGATAGAGACATGACACACTGTGTACGATGATAGAGACATAACACTTTGTTCGATGATAGAGACATAGCACACTAGGGTCAATGTTAGAGACATAACACTGTGTTCGATGACAGAGCCATGATGCTATTTTCGATCACAGAGACATGACATATTGTGTTCGATGATAGAGACATGACACTATGTTCGATGATATAGACATTACACACTGTGTTCAATGATAGAGACATGATACAATCACTCCCAGCAGCGGATGATTTATATCCTTTGCCCTAGCTTGCTACATTATACACACAATCCAAGTAGCGCCCTACGCGTTGTTTATTAAAAGTATCTAAAGCTTTCTTAAGTGGTGGGGAGGGAGGGGGGTGATGAAGTAATGTTTTTTTTTTGGGTTAGTGGTTTGAGTTTCTATTAACTGTGAGTTCTTGGTTTAGAAAAAGAAAAAGAAAAAGAGTTATAGATAGGGTTAAGGTTAGAGTTTAGGTGCGTAATGGAGTAAAGCACTTCTGGTAGGGTTCTGATAAGTGGCAGGGTTGAGCAAACATTCACATCAGTTATGACTACACAGCTGTCTGTATGTATAGTCAATACTAATGAGAGTGCATAACAACCATTATACTAATTAAAGTCTTCTCTAGGTAATAGGTAAAGCGTTATATATGTATAATTATGAGTTAATTGCGGATGATCAGTTTTTTTAAGACAACAGATTTAAAAGTAATAGAGAATATTATGCAAATTCTTGTAGTCTTATTTATAGTTTTATGTTTTAGTCTTTGTAAGCAATGTAAATGTTTACAAGAGAGTTGCTCATGAATGAAATATCGCTTTGTGGATAATGACTATGTTAAATGTCGGGCTGGTGGGGTGAGGTGGTTAGCACTGGTGATGATATGGGGTTAAGATGTATGTGTGGTGATGTGGGGTTAGGATGTATGATGTGGTGATGTGGGGTTAGGATGTATGATGTGGTGATGTGGGGTTATGATGTATGATGTGGTGATGTGGGGTTATGATGTATGATGTGGTGATGATGTGGGGTTATGATGTATGATGTGGGGTTAGGATGTATGATGTGGTGGTGATGTGGGGTTAGAATGTATGATGTGGTGGTGATGTGGGGTTAGGATGTATGATGTGGTGATGTGGGGTTATGATGTATGATGTGGTGGTGATGTGGGGTTATGATGTATGATGTGGGGTTAGGATGTATGATGTGGTGATGTGGGGTTATGATGTATGATGTGGGGTTAGGATGTATGATGTGGTGGTGATGTGGGGTTAGGATGTATGATGTGGGGTTAGGATGTATGATGTGGTGATGTGGGGTTATGATGTATGATGTGGGGTTATGATGTATGATGTGGTGGTGATGTGGGGTTATGATGTATGATGTGGGGTTAGGATGTATGATGTGGTGATGTGGGGTTATGATGTATGATGTGGGGTTATGATGTATGATGTGGTGGTGATGTGGGGTTATGATGTATGATGTGGGGTTAGGATGTATGATGTGGTGATGTGGGGTTATGATGTATGATGTGGGGTTATGATGTATGATGTGGGGTTATGATGTATGATGTGGTGGTGATGTGGGGTTATGATGTATGATGTGGTGGTGATGTGGGGTTATGATGTATGATGTGGTGGTGATGTGGGGTTATGATGTATGATGTGGTGGTGATGTGGGGTTATGATGTATGATGTGGGGTTAGGATGTATGATGTGGTGATGTGGGGTTATGATGTATGATGTGGTGGTGATGTGGGGTTAGGATGAATGATGTGGTGGTGATGTGGGCTTAGGATGAATGATGTGGTGGTGATGTGGGCTTAGGATGTATAATGTGGTGGTGATGTGGGCTTAGGATGTATGTGCGGTGGTGAGGGGGTGAGGATGTATGATGTGAGGGGGGGGGGGGTTAAGATGTGTTATATGTGGAGGTGATATGGATTTAGGATAGGGGGTGGGTGGGCCAGGTGATGTAGGGGTGGTGAAGTGGGTTTAAAATGTTAGATGTGTAGTGTTCTCTGTTTAAAATACTTGTGGTGGTAAGGTGATTTAATATGTTGGATGTGGGGGTGAGGTTCAGATACATACGGTGGCAAGATGAGGTTTTGTGAAGAAGTGTTAAGAATTGTCAAGTAGCAACTTACTTTCACCTAGAGACAAACCTTTCGTATTCAGCCCAGCAAGCTGGCTCCCATGGCACCGATCTCTCTATATGGACATGTGTATGTGCTGTTCAACAT